TGCACTAAAACAAAAATACATAAATATATCAAAGTGAATAAAGAGATCAGCAGTTTTAATCTTCACCTTTGAGCGCCGGTCTGACCTCCCAAAAACTGCAGTTCCTGAAGTGTCCACTAGAGGCTGGATCTCTGTTAAAAATCATCTTTAAAGCCGACATGAACCCGTTCAGGATCGGTCTTCATAGTTTGTTGTGACTCGGCGGTTTTAAAGGGATCATAAATGTTCTGATTTCTGTTTGTTTGTCGTTTTCTGACTTCAGGACGTTTTTCGTCTGTTTTCTGCAGAACCTCGACTTCTCTGATCCACGTCGACTCAGAGTCAGGAGAGTTTTCCATCACGGTTAGCTAACATCCTAGCTTACCGCTCTTCAGAATGTTAGCTTTTTGTCCTCTCGGGCCTCCGTACAGGAAACCATCAAACCTGGTGTCTCAAAAAGATTTCTGATCCTGATTCTAAATATCAACGTTTTTTTTATTTCACTCCGTCAGAAACCTGAACCACGTCTGGATGAAACTCTGGACCATCAGAACCAGGTCTGAGTTTGTCAGTTTGTCAGATCTCAGACGGTTTAATCTTCCTAAAGACATAATGAAGTGGATCCGGCGTCTCGCTCCTTCCTGAAGTTTTGAGGTTTAGTTCGGCGCTCAGAGCCCCGGTTCGCCCCCTGCCGTGTTCGCCGCCTTTAGACTTGGATCATTTAAAGAGATTAAATCTGAGCGTCAACCTGGAACCCTGAGGGCTGAAGGATCATGAAAGGATGAAGAGGGGACATATCAATGAGGCCCTCACCTCCTCCTCCTCCTCTCCTCCTCTCCTCCTCCTCCTCTCCTCCTCCTCCTCCTCCTCTCCTCCTCTCCTCCTCCTCCTCCTCCTCCTCTCCTCCTCCTCACCTCCTCCTCCTCCTCTCCTCCTCCTCCTCCTCTCCTCCTCTCCTCCTCCTCTCCTCCTCCTCCTCCTCTCCTCCTCCTCACCTCCTCCTCCTCCTCTCCTCCTCCTCCTCTCCTCCTCCTCCTCCTCCTCTCCTCCTCTCCTCCTCCTCTCCTCCTCTCCTCCTCCTCCTCCTCCTCCTCCTCCTCCTCTCCTCCTCCTCCTCCTCCTCTCCTCCTCCTCTCCTCCTCCTCCTCCTCCTCTCCTCCTCCTCTCCTCCTCCTCCTCCTGTGTCTCTGAAACGTCAGGTCCTGACCTCAGTCAGGTTTCTTGAACACCGATGAAACAGACTGACCCCCCTGCAGTCATGAATTAGGAGGAACCCGCCGCCGTAGTACACGTTGATCCTGGTTCACGCTGCTCCTGGTTCACGTTGATCCTGGTTCACGCTGATCCTGGTTCACGTTGATCCTGGTTCACGCTGATCCTGGTTCACGTTGATCCTGGTTCACGCTGCTCCTGGTTCACGTCGGGGCAGGTTCCTCTTCCTGCTGATCAATATTCAATGATTGCTCTTCACGCCATCGTCCTCCACGCCTGAGTTTTTGTTGGCGCTCGTCTTTTTAGGGCGTGATCCTCGGCTGCTTGGGAGAGTCGACCTGAATATCTTTCAAGTCTCAGCACAGCGCCGCATATCTTACCTGAGAGCGGAGGAGGCGGAGTCACAGCAGGCCGCCGCCCCGGGGGCCTCACAGCCGCCACCCCCCCTCGGTGAGGGCCGTGTCCTCAATGGCGCTCTGGAAACGGGCGTCTTCACGAGGTGAAGTGTTGGTGTGGAAGCGTGTTCAGACGGAAGAAGAAGAAGAAGTTTATTGATCCCCGAAGGGAAAATCAATAAATCAATAAATCAATAAAACAGATCTGTTTGTTACCTTCTTCTCCTTTTTAATCAATCAAACCAGGAGAAACTAAGTTATTGATTATTGATTAATGACATCATACAGCAGCTCAGTTTAAACAGATGAACAGGATTATTGTCGATGTTCAATGAACAGGATTATTGATTGAATATCGACAACCTGATCGCTGAGTTAGCGTTTCCAATATGTCCGACACTGATGATGGCGTCCAGTTATTATACAGTTCATCTGAAAACCCACAGGATTGGTCAGCGTCGCGTCCCGGCTCTGTAGGGCCACGCCCACTGGAAGCATATTTGCGGCGTAGCGGCGGCATAGCCGAGGCGTAGCAGCGGCGTAGCGCTCAGTTTACAGAAAATAACAGTTTACTTTGTTGTTTTTTTATTTCCTGTTAATTTATATTTAATATCGAGTGACGGTGAATTTCTCCGTCTGTTGATGAGAATCGTGATTTTACAGTTTCGATGGTTTACTCGTGTTTAATAAAGTCAACTATAATCCACTGTAGTCTGCAGCTGAAAGTCCTGTCATGGTCGACAGAGATCAGGGATTGGTCACGGGGTCGTTAATGACGAGTCCGTAACCAGGAAGTACTTCTCATAGATACGACTTTACTGGATGACCTGTTCTGATGTCCCGTCCATGACGATCTTCTCTGATTAGAGTGGCGCCTGCTGAGCTCCGTCCGAAACAGACTCTGTTCTCGTTTTTGTGCGTAGAGACACTTGGAGGGCGGAGCTAAGACACGCTGCAACACTTCCTGTGTGCGACGCTGCGTTGATCAGCATGTGACACTGACAGGAAAGGCGTCCTGAGGGTTTTAGTTCTCAGTAGCTGTTCTGAAGCAGGACCCTGTTCCAGGACAGAGGAGCGTTCAGACGCCGCGGAGCTCAGAAACATGGACTCAGTGACCCTCTTCACATCAAAACTCAAAACACGTCTGTTTCAAACCGTCCATCTTCATACCTGTGTGCTGTTTTTATTCTAACTGAGTTTTTACTGTTTTTATTTGCCCTTTTTAAAGTGTCCTTGAGTGTCCAGAAAGGCGCTTTTAAATCAAATGTATTATTATTATTATTATTATTATTATTATTATTATTATTATTAACACGGGTCCCACAAATCCTCTAAATTGTGGATTTTGAAGTCTCACCCTTTGGGACGATTAAAGGAATATTTTATCTTATTTTAATTTATCTTCTTTTGGTTTATTGTTTTGTATTCTATTTAATTTTATTTTATCTTAATTTATTTTATTCTATTTTTGTATCTTATTTTATTTTATTTTATTTTGTTTTCTTTTATTTTTTATTTGATTTTATCTGATGAGCGACGGTCTGCAGGACAGACGCTCAGCTTTGCTCAGAAACTGGAAACTGGAGTTTAGTTTCCGATCGTTTTAACTCGGTGTTTGAAATCGTTGGTTAACTTTGATTGAGAAGTTGTCTTACTGTCTTACTTTGTCGACTTTTGCATGAAGGCAGTAGATTTGTACTTTTTGGTTTCTAGTAAAAGCGGTCTGTGTCAGATGAAGTCAGGATTGAACCTCCTAAACCTGCAGATTTAATCTGATATCACAAAGTTCAATGAGGAGGAGGAGGAGGAGGAGGAGGAGGAGGAGGACGGATCCTGAGGTTTTGTCGTGTTTGTTGAGACAGAGGAGGCCAAACTTTCACCCAAACTCTGTCAGGTTTCTTCTCACCGTCACGAACACGGCGCCGCTTGCTGACGTGCAGCGCAGCATTCCAGGCGAGCTGAGACACGACGGTGATTGTTCCCTGGTTTTTAAGGGAAGCAGTTCAGCTGGGTGGATGTGAGGAAACGGGTCACACAGATCCGGCTCTGTAACCCAATCCTGCAGAAACACTCGCAGTAAAAACATGTTGGACCGGTGTCGCCTCCCGGCAGGTGGTCCGAGGCGCCGAGCTTTCATGAAAGTCGAATATTTTCTCCATTTGTGCTCAGACGATCATCACGCTGAAACACTCTCCCATCACTTCCTGTTTTTTCACAGTCAGTCCTGAAAAATACCAAAAGACTTCAAAGTTTTTTCTGTTTTCACTCATAAATCCTCCGAACTCGCCGCCTAAAGAAACCGCCCTTTGAAGGAGAGACGCTATCAGCAGACAGAAACAGACGTATTAGGACGCCTGTCAGCTCCATAAAGTGTGGATTTGAAAGCTCCGCAGGACGTGTTTATGACTGATAGGTTTTCATTAAAGCTGTAAGTTTTCAGCTGGATTCAACAACTAAAAGGATTTCATGGGATTATTGACTCCAACGGGCCGAATTCACCGACTTTTAGTGGAAACAGGTAAATCAAAATCCTTTCAAATCACAATTCAACTATTTCAGATCCTTTAAAGATGCTTTTGTGTTTTTTTAATCATACTTGTCGATCTTTACTGCAAGCATCGACTTGTTGGTGTGTTTTTTCAGTCCTAGTAGATCAGGACAAATGTTGGAGGAGGAGGAGGAGGAGGAGGAGGAGAGGGTTCGGTTCAGACTGATTACAGGGTGTGGATCGGCTCCCAGGCAGGAAAAAAGGAGGCGGGGTTTAACCCTTCTGCTGCGCTGCTATTGGTGGAATCGGGGGACAAAAAAGCCTGTACCTGCTGCAGGTAAACAGACCGACATCAGGAGGAGCAGAGCTGGGGCGGACGGACGGATTTACTGCAACCTCCACCTCTGGATCAGAACACGGCGGAGGATTCTTACAGGTGTGTGTGTGTGTGTGTGTGTGTGTGTGTGTGTGTGTGTGTGTGTGTATTACACGTTTATTTCTTCTCTTTTCTCCTCTGTCTTGTGAAGGAGGTGTATCGGGTCGTGTATCGGGTCGTGTATCGGGTCGTTTCTCCAGGTTTGGTTCTCAGATTAAAGTCTCGTCAGGAGGGACAGTCGGATCTGAAGGTGTGGAGATTGGAGACAGAGGAGATAATGGCAGGTTTGGTGTTTCTTCAGAATAGCTCTGCGTTCATGAAGCTCTAAAACCTTGAGGAGGATGAAAACCAGAGAAGAACTTGTCCTGTCTTGTGCGGGGAGAGGCCGCCTCGGCACTCCCTCCCTCTCCTCTCTGAAAAGAGACAAACGGAACCAGTTTTTTCAGTTTCTAATCTGCTGCTTCTTCTTCTTCTTTTCTCAACAGAGAGAGAAAACGAGGAGAAACTCTGCCGTGACGACGCCTCAGAGAAGAAGAAGAAGAAGAAGCTGTGAGCGTTTTGACGTCCATGTTTTCTATCCTTCATTCCACCGGAGTCTGTGTCGAGTGAAAATCAGATTTCAGTGGATTGAAGAGTAAAACACATGGAACTGATCGACGTCTGCGGGGAGGAAAACTGACCGGAGAGAGAAAACAACAAGAGGGTTAGAACGACCTTTCAACGACCTTGACAATAAAGATGAAGGTCACACACACACCCCAAACCCTCTTTTCAGGGTATAGACCGGGGGTTACCTGGTTTGACTGAAACTGTTCCACACAAGCACAGAAACACGCCTCCTCCTCTTCCTCCTTCTCTTCCTCCTCTCTCTCCTCCTCCTCTTCCTCCTACTCCTCCTCCTCTTCCTCCTCCTCTTCCTCCTCCTCTTCCTCCTTCTCTTCCTCCTACTCTTCCTCCTCTGTCTCCTCCTCCTCTTCCTCCTACTCCTCCTCCTCTTCCTCCTTCTCTTCCTCCTCTCTCTCCTCCTCCTCTTCCTCCTACTCTTCCTCCTCTCTCTCCTCCTCCTCTTCCTCCTCCTCCTCCTCCTCCTCTTCCTCCTCTTCCTCCTCCTCTTCCTCCTCTGTCTCCTCCTCCTCCTCCTCCTCCTCCTACTCCTCCTCCTCTTCCTCCTTCTCTTCCTCCTCTCTCTCTTCCTCGCTCAGACCCTCGCTCTGATTGCTCTTCAGAGTCCCCCCCCCCCATCTTTGGGCCTGTCACTCACACGCCCTGTTTCGCCCTCGCCCCGCCCTGATTGGTCTTAAAAGTTCTTGCAGGGTCACAAAGTCCTGATGGCCCCTCTTTATATCTTTGGTCCTGTCGCCCCGTTTCGTCCTCGCCCCGTCTCGCCGCCCTAAAATCAGACCGATTATATAATGACTCCTGAAACCCTGGTCCAAAGCGGACCCTTGGGCCTGTTTTAGACCTTAGTCTGACCCAGAAGAGCTCCGATCCTCGCTGGTTCTCCTCTGAAAAATTTTCTGCTCCCATCAGGTTTCAGACCCGGTTCTCAGTTGGCCCATTAACCCGCCTCATTAGTCCCGGGTTAGTCCCCTGGTTCCATTCAGAGTCTTAATTAGAGATAAACAGTCAGTCCTGAGTCGCCCTGAGCTGTAACCCTTCAGCCAATCAGAACAGAGGAAACTTAACGAACAAACAGACAGAGCAGCAAAGTGACGGGTCAGCACAGAACCACTCAGGACCACACAGAACCACTCAGAACCACAGAGAACCACTTAGAACTACACAGGACCACTCAGAACCACTCAGATCCACTCAGAACCACTCAGAACCAGGCCTCACTTCTGTTCACATTTTTAATTCTTAATAATCAACGGTGAGTCAAAGATCCGTTCACTTTACGATCCGATCAGAATCATGTAGTTTGATCAAAGAGGAAAGATCCAAGTTTAAAATGTTTAAAATCTCATGATTATTATTATTATTAGTAGTATTGTTGTTATTATTATTATTATTATTGTTGTTGTTGTTGTTGTTATTGTTGTTATTATGATTATTATTATTAAATAGTAATCAATCATTAAATCTGCTGAGTTGACTCAAACACCGAGGCGTTAACTTTGGATCTGAATTTCCTCCACAAACTCATCCTGAGAGAATCCGACATCATTTATATTATTTTGGTTTTTAATCGCAGTTATCCGAACGGTACGGAGGTGTATTACAGCCAAAAACAGTCAAAAAGATTTTAAAGTTATTTTTATTATTATTATGAGAAAAAGTCTTAATGAGAATAAAATCATAAAATCATGAGGATAAAGTTTCTAAAGTTCATAATTTAGTAAAAACAAAGAAGTCGTAGGATTCAGTGATATCATGACTTTTTTATTGTTAGAGTCAAATTCAAGTTTATTTATGAAACACATTTAAAAACAACAAAACGCTGAACAAAGTGCTGTAGGGTAAAGAATGAACACAAACAATAAAGAGACTTTATTAAAAAACAAACTTTAGTTCGACTTTAATTCTTTAATGTGATTTTAATATGAGGACCAGAACTCAAACAAAATCATTCATTTAAGAAACAACTGGACTCTAAAAACAGAACGACTTTTTAATTATACACTAAGTTTACAGAGCGCTCAGAGATGAGAGTTTATTTTATAAGATAAAAACAAATCAGTGAAGTTACGGAGAAAAATAAACAGTTTATAACGAATTATATTAAAATTACAAATAAGTGAAAGGAGCCGTCTGAGGCTTAGAAATGAGCGTAACGTAAAGATGGAGTCAGTTACACTTCCTCCTTCACAGCAGCCCCGCCTCATTTACTGCTGGAGGTCAAATAGAGGCGGGAAAAAACTCCTTACAGGACCTTTAATTTTATTTTAAAAATGTCAAATTTAGAAACTGTTTCAGGTGAAAGAGCCGAGACACACTGACCGCAGACTTACAGAAAACACATCTACATCTATATCTACATCTACGTTTCTACCACGTGTACATCTATGTCTCTGAATGAAGTCTCGTACACAGACCAATCAAAGGTCCGTTCTCTTCGTCACGCCGCAGACAGAACCGTCACTTTCTCTTTAACGGCTCGCTCCTGAACCGCACACCTCAGCCTGCTGTTCACCTTCCTGTTGGTGGCGATGATGACCAGGGGGCTGAGCGCCGCGTACAGCGAGGAGAAGAAGATCCGCAGGTCAGTGATCAGAGAGGAGGTCATGGTCTTCCTCATTGTCAGAGTGTAGACCCACAGCCCGTTATCCACGCCGTACAGGACCACGTACAAGGTCACCAGGGCAACCACGGCTTTGGCAGCTCGGCGCTCAGCCCCTCCGCTGACTCCGCCCCCTCCTCCACTGCGGAGCCCCTTCACCTGTTTGTTGTGCTTGTAGAGGAAGACGAGGATGATCAGACTGGCGACGGTCATGAGACTCATGGGGACCACGTCTCTGCCCACCTGGGCGGCGCCGTTCGCCTCTTTGGACAACTTGGAGGGGAAGTAGACGTAGCAGAACTGAACGTTGATGGCGTGATTTACCAGGCTGGAGTTCTTCTGAGTGCCGAGCGAGAAGAGGATGGCGGCCGAGCTCATGCAGGTGTTAATAACCCAGAGGGAGAGGAACACGACCCCCAGATAGCGAGCTACGCCGGCCCGGACGGAGGCCCAGTGTGACCCGGGAGGAGCGATGCTCAGGCACTGGTACGCGCTCAGGACGAAGGTCAGCCAGATGGAGAGGGAGCGAGACGTCCTGTAGATGAAGATCACGGCTTTGCAGCTCAAGTCCCCAAAGATGGAGGCCAGACGGAAGGAGGCGATGGTCTCTATAAGGCAGCGGACGCTCACCACGAGGAGGTTAACACAGGCCAGGTGGAGGACGATGGCGTCGGCAGGGAGGAGCTGGTTCCCCTGGTAGAGGACGATGAGGAACGCCAGGATGACGGCGGAGTTTCCAGGAACTCCGACAACGGTGAGGGAGGCGTAGAGCATCCCACGAACGAAGACCTCCGAGAGCATGGCTGCAGGAGAAACACGAGGGAGGAGGAGACAACGGCGGCGAGTTATCTTAACAAAGATTTAAATGATGGTTAATTATTTTAAATATAATTTTAATTATGTTTAATTATTTTAAATATAATTTAAATTATGTCTAATTATTTTCAATATAATTTTAATTATGTTTAATTATATTCAACAAAATGTAAATTATATTTAATTATATTCAATATAATTTAAATTATACAGCCAACTGGAAATGGAGAAAGGACGACATATCAGACCTTAAACTAATAGTTATTTATTTATATATATATATATATACTGTATATATATATATATATATATATATATATATATATATATATATATATATATATATATATATATATATATATATATATATTCATATATATATATATGTTATGATTCTCATTTAAAGTTTAGAATCAGGAACATATTTCAGTCCAGAGGGGCGGAGTCTCTCAGAGGTGATGGTGCGGAAACGCTCACACCTGTGTGAGGAAATAACAGTTTCACAAAGTTCAGTGATGTCATCCTCGACTGATGAGAGTCTGGATAAAGATAAACTTACAAAAACAGACTCTGGAGTGGAAATCGCCGCATGAGCTCAGAGTCACTGACAGAAAACACAGTGGACTCAGTTTGAGGTTAAATATTAACTCCTCAGGATCCTGAAGACGGACTGACCGCTCAAGTCCTGGACTCCAGAGACCACAGACCCGCTTTAAAGAACAAAAACCAGAACCCCAGATGGTCCGGGGATCTACTGAGGAAACATGATAAACACGACAGAAGAGACCCCAGCTCAAATATGATGACAGAAATACAACGTTTGTTTTTGGACGAGTCGATGTTTTCTGCGTGAATTTGAACGAAAAGTTTGACCTGCTAAAACATGAAACTCTTTTATTTTATCCTTTCTTTGTGACTCAGATCAGACATTTAAAGCTCCAGTGAAAATCTTTAGGTCTGTGTTGATTTTGGCGCCCCCCTGTGGACAGAGCAGTCTCTGCAGATAATATTCTGTACATGGATAATTTAAATTAAAGATCCTTCTGTCGTCTTTAAATAATCAAATGTTTCACTCACAGCTGTCTTCATGTGAAATCTCCCCTCAGCAACAATTTAAGACTGAACCCAAAGAAAGAACCTGGTACCTGGTATCTGTGGAACCATGGAGGCGTCAGCTCCTCCAGGAGCTTTAAGGTTCTTTTTCTGTTTTAAATTTTAAGAGAAAGAGAAGAAGAGCTGCAGACGTTTACCTGAGAGGAGTCGGAGGTGGCGGCGTCTGAAGCGGACGTTTACCTGACGCGTCTCTCTCTCCTCCAGCCGGCGCCGTGTTCGTGTTCTTATACCTGTAAACAGGTGATGACTGTTGGATCTGTTTTTCTCGCTCCATTGCCTCGTCTCTCCTCTGCCTCCAATTACTTGAGATCAATCCAGATGACTGCTTCTGTCTCCTCGCCGGGATTCAGAGTGACAGGATAACACGGAGACAACGATTTGGACCGAGCAGAGAGAAGTTCACGAGAGGACGATATCGACGAGTTTCATGTCTGAACTCTTTCTCACCGTCACTCCTGAATTGGCTTTTTTAATTCCTGATCCTGTTTTTAGAAACACTCTGAAGATGACGTTTGTATTTCTCATTTCCACCATCAATTATAAAAACGCTTTAAAAACAGAGAGAGAGGCCTCTGCTGTCTGCGGGCGAGTCGGATCACAACCCCACAGTGTCCTCCAGTGGACAGAGAGAGGAAACCAACGTGGAGCTGGAGGAGGTTTCTGTGGGTCTGCATGATGGATCACACACCCAGCTTTTTCAGATCATGACATAGAGTCCAATTTATGAGCGAGCGACTCTCTCAGAGCAATAAAAGGTCTGAGAGTGGACCAGAACCAGAACTCTCAGGACTAATGGATGTCTCCAGGTTCACGTCCCACAGCAGAGAATTACTAATGAACACTAAAGTCCAAGTCCATGAGGAGGTCTGTCCTCAACGAGTCTCATGTCTGACGGACAAAAAGACTTTTTTCATCTTTTACTAAATGTTGTTTTGACCACATGGACCAGATGATCTGCTGTTGATTAGTTAGTCGATGTAAAAACCAACAATCATCTGTGGGTTTGATCTTTAATATTCATAAATTTGACAGTTTTCACTTTTCTAACAGGGTCAGAAACCCGGAGCCAGGGGTGGCCATGGTCCCTGAAATCTGTGACAGGTCCTCGATGTGGACTCGGAGAAGAGGTCTGAAAACATTTCAGTCACCCTGTGGGACCGTCCTGTGGGGTCAAAGATCCACGTTGGTTCAGTACCTTCACACCCTAAAGTCTGTCGGTGTTTTTAGACCCTTTTTAAGACGCTGAACAAACAGAAAATTCACAGATCAGTAAAAAAAGGTCCAATCATCAGATTTCAGATCCTTCAGGTTTTAGTAAAATGATAAAGAAACAGATGATCGTGTTCAGAGTTCAGAGGAGGTCAGAGACGCTCCGCTTCAGTCTGAGGACTGTCAATATCCGAGCGCTCAGCTAAAAGCCTCTTAGAGCGCCGCCTGGCTGTGGGACAGATTAACGGCACAGTGTGGGGCGCGGCGCTGAATATTCCCTCTGCAGCCTCAGCGCCGCGGCGTTTAAAGGTGTAAAAGGTTCAAAAGTTCAGAGTGAAGTCGTATGAAAAGAGGTGATTAGTTAGTTAGAGAAACTCACAGAGACGGTCCCAAAGTTAAAGTTTATTCTCACAAACACTTAAAAATGACTGTCACAGAAAAAAACAGTCAAAAAAGGAAAGAAAGGAAGTTTCCGTGGTGACGGTGGTTTTTTAAAGAGACATAAACACAACAGGGACTCTGCTGAGACTCTATGATTCTGGACCTGGTTTAAGACGTTTGAGGTCAAAGTCGACTCCATGATGCTGTTTCAGTCCCAGACCTCCACCCTCATTTTAGTTTTCACACAGTCGGTGCAGAAGTCATTTTCAACATTCACGGTTTCATTGATTAAAGCTCCTCTCTCTTCATCTCCACAGCAGAACAGAGGGAGACCTTAGTTTAGAGGGAAAAATCAGGAGTTAAACAGAAACAGACTCACATCCGTCTCAGTTATTAAGAGAACAACGCTCAGAGTCTCTGAGAGGACGTGTGCTGAAGTAAAGACATCTGTGTGTGGTTGTAGAGAGGACACACTACTGAGCTGCTACGGTTCAGGACAGAAACTTCCTTTAAACTTCGGAGTGTGAGGAGGAAAACCAGATAAACAGATACAGACGAGCGCGATCTCTGCAGCAGACGCCATCTTCATCTGAGCTTGTTTCCATGGAGATAGTCGAGCGTTAGAGCAGGATTGTGATGGACACAACATTTGATCCACACTCCAATCCAAGAATAAAATACTAATAAACCGTTAAACCAACTCTGGTGGAAGTACGATAGTTTTTTTAATAGGATCAGTGCAGCAGGGATGAGATCATGAAACTGAACAGAAAAACAAAATCTAATCTCTTGTCAGGTTTTCACGTTACAGGATCTCCTGAGAGGAACATGCTTGAACCTGCCGCTTTAACGAGCTGAACATGTAAACATGCAGAACACAAACACACACAAGGGGAAACAACACTTCTTCTTCTTCTTCTTCTTCTTCTTCTTCTTCTTCTTCCTCTGCGTCTTTCTTCCAAAGATTACCCTCAGGAGCAAACATGCTCTTCACACACCTCTCTGCAGCGCTCAGATCGAGTCTGAGGAAGAAAATCTGAAGGTTGTTCATGTGAGAGAAGGTTGACTTTCAGAGTGTTGCTGACATGAGAAGAGCGCAGACATGAGAACATTAATTAATAAGAGCTGCCCGTCCCAGTGCCCCCAATTAGCACAAACATGTATTGTGATGGGGCTAATTGTCGTGGTCCTCTGTGGCTTTACCCAGCTCAGGGAGAGAGAGAGTGAGCGTGAACGTCTCCTAAAGACTCATCAGGCTGATTCAGGCGCAGCGTCGTCTCTGTGGGGCGTCTTTAACTCTAACTCTGCAGGGAAAAAGAGTCTTTTTTTTTTATCAAGGAAACCGATGTCTCAGTATGGAGGTCCAGAACTGACCCAGAATGATGTGCCCAAGTCCAGCCTGGAGCAGTTTATTAATATTTTTATTTTTAGTCTGATGCTGCAGGATTTTAAAGTTTAATATCATTTATTTATTGAATCTGACATGAAACCATCAGATTTAATCTACATTTATTTTCAGTGAGATTTACAGTGATAGGGATTAATCGATGTTTGTTATTTATGTTAAAAAAAAACTCCCTACAGGAGCTTTAATGAGAAAAGGAAGAATTAAAGCTCCTCTGATGAGTTTTTGGGACATTTATGAAACTGACTGAAATTTCTATTGACAAGCATGTAGAGGACAGGAAAAGACTGATTTGTCCACAGGGGGGCGCCAAACTTGATACAAACTGAAAGTCCCTCACAGGAGCTTTAATGAGTAAATGAATCAGTCACTGATAAATAAAGCACACTATGAGGCAGTCATTATATTTCTGTGTTTTAACTTCATTTACAAAGAAAACCTGAATTAAGAGGCGGTTCAGTAAAAACTTTAAACAAACACTATAAATAAGAGTCTTTATAGGATAAAATCCATATTTCTGTGTGAAACTGTTTTTAAAATTTCATCAGTTTTCCTTCAGCAGTCTGAAATCAAACATTTATTCTTTTCTTCTGCACTGAATCACTTCATCACTTCATCGAGTTTCTGCTGAAACACAAAAACAGAACCTCAGACCCAAAGACCGAGGTGTTTAGGAACCATCTGAGTGTGTATAAACGGCCTGCTGACGCCTCAGGAATCGAAGGGACTGTCGTTCAGGCTGAGAGAGTTTCCAACATCCCTCACAGAAACAGCAGAAAGACACTTCCTTCAACCAAAGAGAGTCGAGTTAACCCAAAGATCGATCAGATCAAAAACATGTCCAAGGCTGTTGAACAAGATAAAACAAGATTAAACCAGATAAAACCAGATAAAACAAGATAAAACCAGATAAAACAAGATAAAACCAGATAAAACCAGATAAAACCAGATTAAACAAGATAAAACAAGATAAAACCAGATAAAACCAGATAAAACAAGATAAAACCAGATAAAACAAGATAAAACCAGATAAAACAAGATTAAACCAGATAAAACAAGATAAACAAGATAAAACCAGATAAAACCAGATAAAACAAGATAAAACCAGATAAAACCAGATAACCCTCTAGGTAAACAAAAGGTGGCTTTGGGACCTTTAATAGTTAACAATGAGGTCCAAAATACCCGAATGAGTCTTAATAAACAGGTCCTCAGCTTTTACTAGTAAACCAGTTACAACTTTGAGTCAAACTGGTTTTACTGGTGAAGTTAAAATAAACTTAATAAAACGAGTCGATCTTTAGGTCTTTAGTGTTTCATCAGTGATTTCTTTTTGAGGCTCGTTAGTTTTATTCTGACTTTAAAATCAAGTGTTTCCGGGGTCAGGTACCACCTCTGCAGCCCCCCACACACAAACACACACACACCTCAAACACACACACACACACACACACCCCAAACACACACACCCCAAACACAGACTCTTTAAACTCCGCCCCTCAGGCAGGTGATACAGGTACGACAAAACAACCCCCACACACACACACACACACACACACACACACACACAGACGGTTTCTCCCCCTGGGCAGCAGCTCTAATGAATTTAAAAACTGTCACTGAGTCTCAGAGCAAACACACACACACACACACACACACACACACACACACACACACACACACACACACACACACCTGTTTGAACATTTATCTCTGAACACCTGTGACTGAGGTTCAGGTTATCATGATGTTCCTCATTGTTATATAACATAAAAAAAACAGACGGAATAAAAATCAGGAAATCCAAAGACAGAACAAGAAAATATCATCCAAACAAAACAAGATAACAGACACAGAAACTGTGTTCTTACCTCTAAAGTCGACGACAGAGATCTGAATTAAAGCTCCTCTGAGGAGTTTTTATGTTTATTAAATAGATTTGTTTTAAAATCTTTCATCATATAGAAAATAAACAAGACCATCAGCGACAACAATGATTATTTCTAAAGTATAATTTTTAATGTCTGAAATCATCGAGGGGGTCGGTGTCAGTCTGGTTTTAGATTTTCAAAATAAAATATTTACAATGAATCACAGAATTGGCCGTCAAAAGTCATCAGAATAAGAAATTTTATTAAAAATCAAAACTGAATGTTAAAAACAAAAGATTGATTTGTCCAGAGGGGGCGCTGTAACCAACACAAACTGAGAGTCACTCACTGCAGCTTTAAGTAATAAACGATGATCCTGAGGACGAAGATGAGAAAGTTATCTGACTCTTTAAAAACTCTGTTCTGTTTCGTTTCTCTGTGTCTTTATTCTGTACGAGCAGATTCATCAGCTGGATTATTTTTATTTCTTAAAGGGGAGTCTGAATATTGTTTTTCTTCAGCGGTACTTTATTCCCCGCTGAGCGCTCGCCCTCTGAGACCCTCTCCGTCAGATTTAGTTTGTTGCTTTAATTTGAAAAACCGTGGGCGGCGGTGTTGGCCGAAACTCTCCGGAGGCCTTCAGGACTATAAATTGTAATTACACAGTCGATTAAACCGTGAGTGAACCTCGAATCTGCAGCTTCAGGTGAGAAATTTACTGATTTATGATCCAATAATTATCAGGCCGTTTGTTTGATGTGGTCATTTTGTGTCTCCGCCGCTCTCTCAGACGTCTTCATCATGGATCTGTGTGTGACCATCAAAGGGGTCTCCTTCCTCCTGCAGACCGGGTTGGGGATCTTGGGGAACTCGGTGGTTCTGCTGGCGTACGCCCACATCATTTTCACCGAGCCCAAGCTCCTTCCTGTGGACATGATCCTCTGCCACCTCGCCTTCGCCAACCTGATGCTTCTACTGACCCGCTGTGTCCCCCAGACCATGACCGTGTTCGGGCTTCGTGACCTGCTCAATGACCCCGGCTGTAAGGTGGTCATCTACGCGTACCGGATCGGCCGGGCCTTGTCGGTCTGCATCACCTGCATGCTCAGCGTGTTCCAGGCGGTGACCATCGCTCCTGCCGGACCACGTTTGTCCAGACTGAAGCCCGCTCTTCCCTCGTTGGTGCTCCCCACCTTCGCAGGACTGTGGCTCCTCAACATGGCGATCTGCATCGCTGCTCCTTTTTTCTCCATGGCGCCACGAAACGGCACCGTCCCGGCTTTTACCCTCAACCTGGGCTTCTGCCACGTGGACTTCAGAGACAACCTGTCCTACGTGATAAACGGGGTGGCTGTCTCCAGCAGGGACTTTGTCTTTGTGGCGCTGATGGTGGGCTCAAGCGGCTACATCCTGCTGCTTCTCCACCGCCATAGTCATCAGGTCAGGGGGATCCGTCGCTCTCAGGGCGGCGGCGCAGAAACAAGAGCGGCGAAGACGGTGGTCACCCTGGTGGTCCTCTATGTGGTCTTCTTTGGGATTGATAACGTGATCTGGATCTACATGCTGACGGTGGCGAAGGTTTCCCCGGTGGTGGCTGATATGAGGGTCTTCTTCTCCTCCTGCTACGCCTCCCTCAGCCCCTACTTCATCATCTCCTCCAACAAGAAGGTCAAGGCCAAGGTCGTGTGTGCCGCCGAGCAAGAACATCCGTCAGCAGACACTCAGGAGTCGAGTGACAGATGAGTCCGTCTGCGACATGACGAGCGGTCCGACCTCATCGCTGAGAGAGCGCCCGCACAGACGACCGCCGTTTAGTGAAACACTTTAGGAAGTAGAACTTTAGACCGCGGCGTGTTTCACTGCTCTTACAAAGATCTCACCGTCATGTGGCTTATTGACATTTTTAACAAACATCCCCGCAGAAATCTGTCAGTTTAGTTTTAAAACGGTAATTAATCACAGACGAGTTCATCAGGATCACATTTTTAACTGCATGTGTAGAATAATATCATCATTAACTGTTTTTAGGTTGAACCGTCTGAAGTGGTCTTATTAAAATCATAAATCATGTGACTCAGACTCTCGCTCTCTTTAAAACTCAAACCTCTGATTCTGAGAGTTTAACGTGTTTCTGCTTCATCCTGAAGGGTCGAGAGATCACACACGAGGAAAAACTCATTCATACCTTTAGAGGAATAACTGGACTGAACTGAAGCTGCAGTTTGAAGGTTAAAGTTTCTTATTAAAAATACAGGAAATCCTGTTTTTAAAAACATAATAAATTTACACATTTATTAATAACTAACTGAAACAGTTAGAATCGGTGATAAGTGACAATAACATTTATCGATTACAGATTTAATCATCAATACGTCAGCTTTACGAGTCTCTCTGCTGCGCTCTGATTGGTTGAAATGTCAGGAAAAGGTTCAGGACGGCTATGCTTTTGTTAATTTCTCTCGTGGTTTAGCTTGTCAGGCAGCAGATTCCCTCTTTTAATTGTGTAAATCTTTTATACTCAGGGTGGTTGTGATTTTAATAACGTAGGTCTGTCCTTGAAAATTTTTAAATAACGTGTGAGTTTTATTTTATATCGAACTATAGATATGCAGCGATTTTTGAGGTAGTGTATTGGCGGCATCCTGCACCTGACAGACAAAATGGAGGTGGTAAAACTCCCGCCGAGAGAACAACAAACCCCGGAAAAGGGAAGCGGAAGATGGAGACGAATGTTGGTCAGAGAGTTAGCCGAGGAAAGAGGAGCTAAAAGACTAAAACTAACTCAATAAAACTAACTCAATAAAGCTAACTAAATCAAACTAACTCAATCAAACTAAAACTGTGAATTTTACTGAAAATAGTCCAAGTTAAAGTATAAACGATGGCGCTTTTTAAAGTCATTTGTCCCGTCGAGAGGATGAAGATGACGGTGAGTCAAAGTATAAATATATACATATATATATATGAGAGTGTGTGTTTATAAATGTATAGATGTTCATATGGAACATAGATGTATATATGAATAACCTGACAGAGAGAGAAAAAGAGTTAGTGATGATAAATAAAAGATTTCAGACAAAAAAACAACAACTTTAAAGGTTCATGTCAGGTAAAGTTACTTTATGATCAATAAAGTAATAAAAGGTTATCAATGATTTAGTTTGAAACAGGTGTGGACTGTTTTCTCACACAGAGCTGAAATTATCCTTAATAATGAACTTTGAGTTTAAAGTTAGAATTCAGATTCATGATTTTGTTTTTTTAATGATTTTGTTTCTTTAATGATTTTGTTTTTTTAATGTTTTTGTTTCTTTAATATTTTTGTTTCTTTCTTTTTTTTTTTGTCCTTTTCTGTGTTTTTATGAAGTGAAATGATCCGGATCAGAGAAATATGAGCTGAAGGACTCCTGAGGACCATGGCCAGAATCGCCTGGTACCAAGAGAAGGTGAGATCAGAACCAGAACCAGAACCTGGACCTGGAGGTCAGGAAGACTAGACCTTTAGAAAGTCTAGACTGAATATCCATTAAAAAATATATATTGTTATTATTATTATTATTATTATTATTATTATTCCTTAGTGTTGCAGCTGTTCTTGATAACTTCCTTTTTTTTAAAATAATAATATAATAAATTTTATCTTTAACACACTTTTACAGGAGCTCAAAGAGGCCTAAAAAAACGGTTTAAAATAATTTCTCCTTTGGTTTCTCTGTCTGTAGTCGGACGTCTGAAGAGAGACAGACAGTTTTGGAAGATATGAAAAAAAAGGTCAAATGTTCGTATTCTAGTCTTACAGTTGTCTTTTTTCTGATTGTGTTCACACCGCTCAGTCAAATATTTCAGTGCTGTCTCCTTACACATACAGCAGATCTGGACTTGAGGTTACATGAGTGACCCCGTTAACAAAGACTATCAGGAGAAAAACTCCAGACCATCTGACCTCCTGAAAATAAAAAGATGTCCTTCATGGTTCAGACTCTGACAGAAGTTTGTTTGTTCTTCTTCTCGTCCTCGTTCCTCGCTCTTTTAAAGTCAAACATGAGAATAAAGTCTCTGTTTTGAGTATTTACAGCTTTCTTCTTTTCCCCCTCGGTGGGCGCAGATGTTACAGACACGCAGCTCCATAAATTGATGGAAACACACCGATCAGCTCTGCCTCTCTCTTCCCTACATGAGCAGAAAAAAGGATTTTATTCTGATATCTAAAATTCTCTACAAGCCCAAACAAAATTCAACAATACTGTGTTTATTCCCTTGTCACTGAAGTAAATGAATTGACTCTGCTAAACTGGATTCCTGATGAAATCAAACTGATTAGTTAAAGTTGTGATTTGTTTTGACAGATTGGAGCCTATGATCAACAAGTCTGGGAGAAATCCCTGGAGCAGGCCGATCTAAATGTAAGACCCCGTAAATCTCTGTAAGGAGGTGAAAATGTTTGATTTCTGTTGAAACGCAGAATAACAAAAATCTCTTTGCTTTAGGGTTTGGACAGCAAACCTAGAAAGACAGGACACATCAAACCAGACCTCATCGATGTGGATTTAGTCCGAGGTGAGCCGCACTTCTCCATCTGAAGACATTTTTAACACCTTCACCTGCCTGAGCTCTGTTTTATTTCTTCACTGTTCATATGGATCAGAATAAAGTGATGACTCCTCCTCCCTTCAGGATCAACATTCAGTAAAGCCAAACCGGAGAGTCCGTGGACGGCTCTGACTCGTAAAGGTTTGGTGAGAGTCCTGCTCTTCCCCTTTTTCTTCCAGTGGTGGATCCAGGTGACCTCCACGTCCGTCTCCTCATGTATCCTGCTGCTGTACTTCATGCAAGGTCAGCTCACCTGTGTTTACACTGAGACCATCAGTGAGGGACCTGACTCTGTAAACAGATGATAACACGCTGTCTTTGCATTAATTCTGGGTGTTTTTATCAAACATGAACCTTTAAATAAATTCTTCTGCTGTCTGTTTCCAAAACACGTCCGTCTGTAATCTGAGATTTCTAACACAGAACTTTTACTTGAACAGATAGTTTTATAACTGCAGGTACTGATGATCCACTTTTAAAGCCATTATTAGTCAACACTGATATCATGCAGAGAATATCGAACATCCCATTCTGTTCTAACATTAGCAGTCATGCAGAGAGATGCTGAGATCCACTCCATCTTCTCTCTCTTTGTTGGTGTTCAAGCGTCTCGAGTCAGAGGAACCCGAGTTCAGTCGAACCTCGTTGTTGTTTTTTTAATTATTATTTTTATTGTTTTTAGAAATGTCCATTAGGGGGTGAAAAACTGAACCTGCTCTGACTGTTGCTGTTTACAGATCCAACATATGATGGTGGAGTTAGGGGGAGAGAAGACACTCGGATGATGATGAAGATGATGTATAATAACAGCAGATTTATACATCAGCAGCTTTATATTATGTGCTGATATCAGACATTTCTATTGTAACATGTGATCATGGAGACACTCTGAGATCCTCACCAAAGAGAAACTAACCCAACGACGTGACGTTTGAAATATTGATGGTTATTCAAACGTGAGCGGGAGGATCATCTTCCCTCTCTGAACGCTCTGACTCCTGTTGGAGAGACTTTTCTGTCAGCAGTCACACTGTGAGAGTCTTTCTGCTGTTAGAGACAGGAACTAAAGACTCTGACCTTCTTTAACAACATCATCAGATCTGAGCTGTGTGAGTTTTTGTGTTTGTGTTCTTCACAGTCGACTCTCAGCTCCGTGCAGAGTTAAACTCGTCACCGCCTCGTCTCCTAACACTGAGCTCATTAGTTCACATGAATTCTGCTTTAATGGCTCCTCAGAGAGACGCTGTCGTTCACTGTGTTCAAACCTTTGTCTCCCCTCAGTGGCCGCGGTGGCGCTCTACCTTGAGATTCCCGGGGCGAGTGCCAACGAGGTCTTTGGACCCATGTGTCTGATGCTGCTGCTGGGCACCGTGCACTGCCAGATCGTGTCCACCGAGTCCAGCCGCTGGCCCTCAGGCAGTCCAGCTGCCAGCTGCACCACCAGCCCGGCACGGAGGAGGAGGTGGGTCTCTGCACACTGACCAACACACCTCCACCTCCAAGACCAACACTGACGGTTACACCAACACTGACCAACACACCTCCACCTCCAAGACGAACACTGACGGTTACACCAACACTGACCAACACACCTCCACCTCCAAGAGCAGCAGCAGAGACCAACACTGACCAACACACCTCCACCTCCAAGAGCAACACTGACGGTTACACAGAGAGACGAACACTGACAGTCACAGACAGACCAACACTGACCAACACACCTCCACCTCCAAGAGCAGCAGCAGAGCAGACACTGACGAACACTGACAGACGAACACAGACAGACGAACACAGACGGTCACAGACAGACCAACACTGACAGACAAACACTAACAGACGAACACTGACGGTCACAGACAGACCAACACTGACGGTCACAGACAGACCAACACTGATGAACTCTGACGGTCACAGACAGACGGACACAGACGGTCACAGACAGACGAACACAGACAGACCAACACTGACAGACGAACACTAACAGACCAACACTGACGAACTCTGACGGTCACAGACAGACGGACACAGACGGTCACAGACAGACAAACACAGACAGACCAACACTAACAGACGAACACTGACAGTCACAGACAGACGAACACAGACAGACCAACACTGATGAACTCTGACGGTCACAGACAGACAAACACAGACAGACCAACACTGACAGACGAACACTAACAGACCAACACTGACGGTCACAGACAGACGGTCACAGACAGACGGTCACAGACAGACGAACACAGACGGTCACAGACAGACAAACACAGACGGTCACAGACAGACGAACACAGACGGTCACAGACAGACGAACACAGACAGACAAACTCTGACGGTCACAGACAGACAAACACAGACAGACGAACACAGAGACGGTCACAGACAGAAGAACACAGACGAACACAGACGGTCACAGACAGACAAACACAGACAGACGAACACCGACAGACAAACACAGACGGTCACAGACAGTTGAACACTGACGGTCACAGATAGACGAACACAGACAGACGAACACCGACAGACAAACACAGACGGTCACAGACAGACAAACACAGACAGACGAACACCGACAGACAAACACAGACGGTCACAGACAGTTGAACACTGACGGTCACAGATAGACGAACACAGATTGTCACAGACAGACGAACACAGACAGACGAACACTGACAGTCACAGACAGACCAACACTGATGAACACAGATGATGGATCACAGACAGACGAACACAGACGGTCACAGACAGACGAACACAGACGGTCACAGACAGGTGAACCCCGTATGAATGTGAAGGTTTTCTGTCCTAGTCTCGGTTCTGTAGTTTCGTCTTTCTTTGAGACTCTTCTTCAGACCCAGGAAAGGCAGAGGGCTGAAAAAACCTGAGGAGAAGAACGACAGCGAGGACACGGAGCAGCAGGAGGCGTGGCCGTTTGGAGGGGGTCAGCGATCGTACAGCGACGAAGAGAGGAGGGTGAGTTCTACGCCTGAGCCGCCAAACTCCAAAACTATCCAATAAATGATGAAGATTTCTGATGAAGAGTAAAGACGTGCACGTGGATTCACCAGTTTCATGTTGAGTAAGATAATGTTCAGTAACTTCAGTGTCTCCATGAGGAACTTTGTCATGGACTCTGTCTCTGTTCAACTTGGACATAAAACCTCCATAAAACTCTGCTGAACACCAGTGATGCACCTTCAGATACAGCTGTGGATGTTTCATAAAACTGTCTCCTCAGATAAAGTTTGATCTGAGTCCGATCACATCCGTGCGTCTCCAAATTCTCCCACAGAGCAAAAGAAAGTCCGGGTTCGGGGCGTCTGACGAGCTCTCCAGTGAGGAAGAGGAGGGGATCCAAACAGTCAGAGACCGGTCTCCAGGATCTCGTTCAGAGGGGTGTCCTGCTACGACCTGGCCCACGTCTGCACACCTGTCCACCGTTTGGAAGAAAAACCAGAAGAAGTTTAACCTCAAAGCTCCAACCAGAGCTCAGGTAGACTCTGCTCTCTCCTCCTGAGGACCTGCTGAAGGTCTTTAGATGTTCAGAGTTTAAGACGTAACAAAGCCGGACTGAGACATGGTCAGGTTTAACAAAGCCGGACTGAGACATGTTCAGGTTTAACAAAGCTGGACTGAGACATGGTCAGGTTTAACAAAGCCGGACTGAGACATGGTCAGGTTTAACAAAGCTGGACTTTCACATGTTCAGGTTTAACAAAGCCGGACTGAAACATGTTCAGGTTTAACAAAGCTGGACTGAAACATGGTCAGGTTTAACAAAGCTGGACTGAGACATGTTCAGGTTTAACAAAGCCGGACTGAAACTTGTTCAGGTTTAACAAAGCCGGACTGAGACATGTTCAGGTTTAACAAAGCCGGACTTTCACATGGTCAGGTTTAACAAAGCCGGACTGAGACATGGTCAGGTTTAACAAACACGACTGTTTTGACTTTGATAACAGGAAGGAAGTTCATCTTTCGTTAAGGTGAAACCCCGAGAAGTGGAGCGCCTCAGGCCCAGCGTGGGCTCCCGACCCGCCTCTGATACTGATGACACCATGTGGGAGGAGCTTCTCCAAGATCCTGACTCCGCCTCCAGCGGGAGCAGTGACAGCGAAGCCAACGGGAGGTACAACGCCGGCATGTCGATTCCTGCAAACACGACCATGAGCAGCGATGATGAGAGTCTGCAGGCGGGATTCAACGGGGTAAGAGGATCCAGAGGGTCCATCTGTGTTCATGTAGACCTGAGACCTTAGACTTCAGATGTTAGACTTTAGAACTTAGACCTTAGAACCTGGACCTCATCATGTTTCCTCCTGGGTCACTAGTAGACCCCGGAGCCTGAAACTGTTTGCTGTAGGTCAGATATGAAATGAGGACCAGGAAAGTTGAAGCTTTGAGGGTTCAGCATCAGGAGAACTTGAAGAAAATCTTCTCCCCTCAAACTTGTAGATTCCAGCAGCTGCAGGACAGGCTCTGATCTCCTGATGTGTCTAAGATTACTGACAGAAACATCACATGTAATGATTTTGGAGTTTCAGAAAAGATTGTGATTAAAGTTGCAGATCTGATAAAGTGAGACCCGTCCCCACAAACAGACTCTGAAGTGGACCCTTAGAAAAACGAGACGACAGAAATCTGACTGTTTACCAAACCTAATTTAGTCCATATGAGGTGTACTTTCTTGAGTCTGCTCTGGTTTATCCTCTGGAGACCTTCACTGAACTGAGTCTGTTAAATTTCAGAGCCAGCTGTCATGGCTGCAGGCGTGTCACCCATCCAAGGACCGGGTCAGCGCCATCATCTGGGAGCAGGGCGAGTGTAAGAAGGCCGAGATGTCGGTTCTGGAGATCAGCGGGATCATCCTCACAAGGGTACATGTTTTCTCTTTTCCTTCTTCTTCTTCTTCTTCTTATTATTATTATTCTTTTTATTCTTATCATGATTAAGTTATAAAGTCACCAAGGTTAATGTTTCCTCATTTAAAACGAGGGTATGTTGATAAATAAGGTAATTATGGCTGTTTGTGGTCAGACTTCAAAGAAGAGAGAAAGAAATTAAAGTGTTTTATTTTTTTAAACATCTTCATTTTCCTGCTTTTGTCCTCCGTCTGTCAGATCCCTGTCACAAACACTCTGGGCGTTCATTTTAAACTCATAAAACAAGAGAAAAGGAGAGGTGTTGTTACAGCTGTTGTTACAGCTGTTGTTACATGTGTTGTTAGGTGTTGTTACACGTGTTGTTACAGGTGTTGTTACAGGTGTTGTTACAGGTGTTGTTACAGGTGTTGTTACACGTGTTGTTACGGGTGTTATCAGGTGTTGTTACAGGTGTTTTCAGGTGTTGTTACAGGTGTTGTTACAGGTGTTTTCAGGTGTTGTTACAGGTGTTGTTACAGGTGTTGTTACAGGTGTTGTCAGGTGTTGTTACAGGTGTTGTTACAGGTGTTGTTACAGGTGTTGTTACACGTGTTGTTAGGTGTTGTTACAGGTGTTGTTAGGTGTTGTTACAGGTGTTGTTACAGGTGTTGTTACAGCTGTTGTCAGGTGTTATCAGGTGTTGTCAGGTGTTGTTACAGGTGTTGTTAAAGGTGTTGTTACAGGTGTTGTCAGGTGTTGTTACAGGTGTTATTACAGGTGTTGTTAGTGGTGTTGTTACAGGTGTTGTTACAGGTGTTGTTACAGGTGTTGTCAGGTGTTGTTACAGGTTGTTGTTACAGGTGTTGTTACACGTGTTGTTAGGTGTTGTCAGGTGTTGTTACAGGTTGTTGTTACAGGTGTTGTTACACGTGTTGTTACAGGTGTTATCAGGTGTTGTTACAGGTGTTGTTACAGGTGTTGTTAGTGGTGTTGTTACAGGTGTTGTTACACGTGTTGTTAAAAAATATTAATAGACTAAAACAAAACAGATAATGTGTAAACGTTGACTTTGTGTTGGAGTTTTTCTTCTCACTTTTATCAACATGAAAATCTTAAATCGACCCTTTTCTCGTTTCTCAGGTGAAGCAGGTGGAGCAGGGTGTCGGGTACCTCATATTCGGGGGGTTGATGACCGCCACCCTGGCTCTGCTCCCCTTCGCCTTCCGCCTGTCTCAGCGTCTGGATGTTTCCACTCTGGGCTCCCTGTGTCCCCTGGAGCTGGTGGAAATGGTGATGGGGCCGCCCGATACACGGGTCTACGTCTTCTTCTTCATCACGACGGTGCAGAGAGTGTGCCTGACGGGACTCTTCTTCTTCATGATGTGTGTGGCTGAGCGGACGTACAAACAGGTGAGCTCTGGCTTTGAGATGTTTGAAGAAATGAGTTCTTTCATTTCCAGATTTCCTGAAGAAACTCTGTAAACTAAGTGGGTTAGAGGAGGACAACCCCTTTGGCTCTTTGCAGGACTTTAAAATCTTTAATTATCTGTTTTTTTCCTTCAACAGAGGCTCTTATTTGCCAAATACTTCAGCCACCTCACCTCGGCTCGCAAAGCCAAGAAATCTGAGGTCCCTCATTTCAGGCTGAAGAAAGTCCAGAACATAAAGATGTGGTTGTCTCTGCGCTCTTTCCTCAGGGTTTGTATCCCCCTCTGTTTTCTCATTGATGGACATGGTTTCACCACTAGAGGGCAGCATTGGTCTTATGAGACATTATTGATCTGTTTGTTCACTGCAGAGACGAGGCCCGCAGCGCTCCGTCGATGTCATCGTCTCCACCATCTTCCTCCTCGCTCTGTCCATTTCAGTCATCATCTGCGCTCAGGTCAGTCAAATATCAGCTGACAAACCCGGATCTGATGGTCCTGCGAGAGAGACCCTCCCGTGGTCTTCTCTGAGACGACAGAAGGTCATGTGTTCAGCCGGAGTGAGGGCTGATGGGAGATTTGGACGAGTCAGAGAGTCATCACAACATGATGACAGCTGTTTAAAGGTTTTCTCGAGCCAGAATGAAGCCAGTGGGCGTGGCCTCAGTCTCAGTTTTTGAAAGAAGGAAATAACTGAACGGAGAATCAAACCTCTCAGATCCTCATGAAAACTCGATAGTTTTTCTGACGCGGTTCAGAGACGGGATAGTTCTGGGTCGGCCGTCCCTCTGGAAACGCCCCCGTCTGTCATAGCCTTTTGTTTTTTCTGTAACCATGGTGATTTCTTGTCTGACGCTGTTTTTAGTCTCTCAGATGTAAACAAAGCGGTTTGGAGCGTGTCGTTCTCTGTCTGACCCCCCCCCCCTGTAACAGCTGTTTCAGGGACTAAAAATAACCTGGAGTCCACAAACTTCCTCCCTGGGGGGTCGTGTTGACTCCTCCAGGTCATACAAAGACATCACAGCCCCCCCCCCCCCCAAAAAAACACCAATAAACCCACCGTGTTAAAAAAAACCTGTTTGATTTTGATGTTTTTTGTTTTTGCCCCGCCCCCCCAGCTTCTGCACAGCCACCAAACGTTCCTGGAGTCTCTGACAAACTGGGAGATGATGGTGTGGGCGTCGTCTCTCATCCTGTTTCTGCTGCGGCTCGCCACGCTCGGCTCGGAGACAAACTGCAAATACAGCAACAACTCAGTGCTGCTAACCGAACAGGTGAGAAAACACACCTGATTTAGAGGGGGCGGGGTTAAAGAGTTTACTCAGAGACGGTTTGATTCTGTTCACAGATTAATCTGTACCTGAAGATGGAGAAAAAGCCCAACAAAAAAGAGGAACTCAACATCGTCAACAACGTCCTGAAACTCGCCACAAAGCTGATGAAGGTACGAGAGGATTCCTCACTCACCACTTCATGTGAATTTTCTGAAACTGTAATTCCAGTTCGATCGTCGGCTCGGACGTCTTCAGTCACTGACTCAGTCTGTTATCATCTAAATCAGGTATTTCAGTTTTCTTCTCATCCTCCTCTCCATATGAAGCAGAGAGGTTAAAGGTCATGAAAGGTCATTAGAGGTCATTAAAGGTCATTAGAGGTCCGGGGAACAGCGCTCAGGATGTTTAGTACAAGTTTTCATCAGAGAGGGCGCCCCTGAGCACAGCGTTAGGTTTCAGGTTTTTCACATTCTGAATACAAACCAAGAACGAATCCCATTTTCTCAGCAGGTAGGAAATGGTCAAAGTGGGCGGAGTTTGCTGTACCTGAGTGCTAATCTAACCTGTGGAGCTTAAGTTCATGAGAGCGACGCCCTGAAACTGAAGTAACAGGTGTTTGTAACCCTGAGTGTGAACTTCAGTGTTTCCGTCTGCAGACATGAAGTTTAAGAGTCTCTGATGAAACCTCTGCTCGTGTTTTTATACTGTTTCATTACTATAATATAATATAATATATTCTATAATATAATATAATATATAATATAATATAATATATTCTATAATATAATATAATAACTTTATAAAGAGGTTTTTCTCTCGAAGAGTCTCTGATGAAACCTCTGCTCATGTTTTTTTATAGAGCTGTTCTTTCGTTTCTATAATATAATAATAACTTCATAAGGAGGTTTTTCTCTCTAAGAGTCTCTGATTAAACCTGTGATCGTGTTTTTATAGTTTCATTAATATAATATAATATAATCTATAATATAATATAATCTATAATATATTCTATAATAATAACTTTATAAAGAGGTTTTTCTCTCTAAGAGTCTCTGATGAAACCTCTGCTCGTGTTTTTTTATAGAGCTGTTCTTTCGTTTCTATAATATAATAATAACTTCATAAGGAGGTTTTTCTCGGACTCCTTTGTTACCTGAAGATTTGAGTTTCCATGTTCACTTTTAAACCCCGCCCCCCTCAGGAGTTGGACACTCCCTTCAGACTGCTGGGCCTGACGGTCAACCCTCTGATCTACAACATCACCAGAGTGGTCATCCTGTCCGCCGTGTCCGCCGTGGTCAGCGATCTGTTCGGCTTCAACATCAGGGTGAGTTTCTGTTTGTGTGTTTCAGTCGTATGAAGCACCGTGAACGTCCTCAGACAATCCTTTTTCAGTTTCTAATCACACTTTTACTTTTTTACTCTCCAGCTGTGGAAAATCAAGCCTTAATGTGAACCAACCAACCAACCAACCACTACCAGTCAGTCTGACACTGGAGACGTGGAGCCGCCTGTCCGTCACAGAGAGCCTCAGTCTGTGTGAAAACAAACAAAAGTGCAAACCTACTGACCTGAGTGTGATTGTTGTCTGTGCCTCCAGCTGAAGCGTCGGCCTCTTAGGTTTCATCGAACATTTAAAAGTCTGAAATGCTCTGACAATCGCTCGTAAGGATTTACAGGCTGGCTCGGCGCCCGACCTTTGACCCCTGAATGTTCCTCAGTCTGTTGTTAAATATAGCGGTGAGTGGCGGTCTGAGATCATTTCAGGCTCCTGCAGATTCCCCGATGATGATGATGATGACGATGATGATGATGATGTTCTGTACAAACGTGTAAAAGGTTCAAATGTCGATGGTTATTTCTCGTGTTTTCCATCATTTACTGTAAAACAAGCAAAAACCATCAGCTGACTGAAGCGGGTGAATCAGAGCGGGGCGAGCAGCTGTAATGACGTTTCTTTAGTGTCAAACTTTTCTACCATATACAGAGGAAATATTGTAAGTGGGCTTTATTTATTTTGGGGTTTTGTTTTTAGCGCTTAAACTTGCAAAGGTACCTGAACGTCGTTTTGACCACTATCTGCCTTTTGTATTGAGGACCATTGTTGAAGAACTATGCAAGGTGGGTTTGGATAAATGAATAAAAACGCTTTTATCCATGAGTTTGTTATCGTCGTTCTGCCTCCTGGTCTTTATTGGACGATGGTTTTCTTGTCTCTCTCTGTTTATCGGCCTTGGCTGGTTGTCAGGGACGATAAATAGACTAATTTTTACTCAGTTGAACCAAGAAGACCACAGCAGGGATCCTGAAGTTTAGGTTTCAACTCTTCATGAATCAGTCACAGTAGAGAGACTTTTTATCTGTTTTTGACTTCATGTACAAACAGATTTTAAAGTATTAAAGAAGAAAAACTCAACATGAACAACAACAGACACACATGACTGAAAAACCAGGACGGCTTCCTAAACCGGATCGAGCTCCAGAAACCCAAGAAGCAAAAATCAGCTGTTTGTTGAGCTGCAGCTAAATCAGTTTATTCAAGATTAAAGAGTTTGGTGTTTGACTTTATTGTATTCTTGCAAATATCGGTACTGAGAATATCCCTGTCTGTATCGGCTCCTCTCTGTTTCAGTCCCGTACTGACTACAGTGGGATCTATTAGAGACATTACGGTAAAACACAGAGCTGATGACGTAGAGGCACACCTCCGGCTTCGAAGGACACGAGCCGACCGAGGAGGTACGAACACCGGCGAGGAGGTCCGAGCTCCAAGGACAGACAGGCCGAGCAGACCGACTCCTCCAGCCGCAGAGGAGGACGGAGATCCCGGTCCTGCAGCTCGGCGGATCCCGGAGTCCTGAGAGCTTGAGAGGACTCTTTATTTCCTCATCCATCCGGTAAATATAGATATAGATATACAGTAAATATAGATATATATGAATCTAGATGTATGAGGAGTGATGGAGGAACACGTCCTTAAAGAAGAGGATTATATCCGAGTGTCGCATGAACTCAGTCACCCCGCAGAGGAGAGCATCTCTGCGGTTTTCAAAACCAGAGTTCGGGTTAGTTCGGGTTAGTTCGGGTTATCCAAGCGGGTTTTTGGTTCAGATGATGTGGCAGCTCCTTCTTCTTCTTCTCCTCCAGCTTCTGCATCTTCTGTTGTTTCCCTCTGTGTTTCCAAGGAAACCTAAAGACACAGGAAGCCGGAATGTTGAGAAGGAATAATAATAATAATAATAATAATAATAATAATAATATAATAATAATAATAATAATAATAATAATAATAATAATATAATATAATATAATAATAATAATAATAATAATAATAATAATATAATAATAATATAATAATAATAATATAATAATAATAATAATAATAATAATAAAAATGTGTTAAATTGAGCTCTTAGAGATTGATGACAGTGATCAGCTCTTGTCCGTCTGTTTCAGTCTGGAAAATGTTCTTCTGAGGAGCTGAAGGAGCTGATCTGAACTCCAGCATGTCGAGTCCTCAGACGGACAACGGCTCTGCAAACTCAGCAGAATCCAAGAAAACCGACCCGAGAATGACGGAGAAGAAGTGCTGTGAGTAAAAAGTCTGAGCTCCTCCATAATCCCATCATCACCTCCTTTAACGGTCTCCAGGTGTTCTGCTGGAAACTCGACTCTGGTCTTTGTTCGCTCTCATTGTTTCTTGATCTCCTCTTTTCATTAAAGTCTGAGAAGTGAACGTGTGACTCTGTCTCTAGTTTGCTGTGTTGGTTTGAAGATTGTCCTTTTCTCCCAGGACGTCTCTTCTTCTCCACAGTCCACTCATGATATTTGTGTCTGAGGAGAAACTTATTTCTGTCCAGCTCACACGGCCCACTTTCAAGACCGTCTTCATCCTGCAAAGACGACAACAAAAGCCTCTTTTGATTCAGTATTTTTGTTGGTGAAGTACGGCTGCAGTGAATTTCAGATGTTTTCTCTCTGTGGTTCAATCGTTTCCTTAAACCGGGCAGGTGACCCTGAAGTGTCGACCTTCACCTCCGATCTCTCTAACATCTCCTTAAAAACTCTAAAATAATGTAGAAACACGAACTCTTGAGAAAACACGACGTGCTGTGTTCTTTTTTTGTTGCCTTTGCAGATTCAGAGAAGAAAACTTGGAGAGTCATGTTTAACGTGTTTTAACGTGTTTTAACGTGTTTAACGTGTTTAACGTGTTTAACGTGTTTTAACGTGTTTAACGTGTTTTAACGTGTTTAACGTGTTTAACGTGTTTTAACGTGTTTAACGTGTTTAACGTGTTTTAACATGTTTTAACGTGTTTTAACGTGTTTAACATGTTTTAACGTGTTTAACGTGTTTTAACGTGTTTTCTCGTGTTTTAACGTGTTTTAACATGTTTTAACGTGTTTTTAACGTGTTTAACGTGTTTAACGTGTTTTCTCGTGTTTAACGTGTTTTCTCGTGTTTAACGTGTTTTAACGTGTTTAACATGTTTTAACATGTTTTAACGTGTTTTAACGTGTTTAACGTGTTTTCTCGTGTTTAACGTGTTTTCTCGTGTTTAACGTGTTTTAACGTGTTTAACATGTTTTAACATGTTTTAACATGTTTTAACGTGTTTAACGTGTTTTAACGTGTTTAACGTGTTTTAACGTGTTTAACATGTTTTAACGTGTTTAACGTGTTTTCTCGTGTTTAACGTGTTTTAACGTGTTTTAACGTGTTTTCACGTGTTTAACGTGTTTTAACGTGTTTTCTCGTGTGTGTGTTTCAGCCTGGGCGTCCTACATGACCAACTCTCCAACGGTGATCGTGATGATCGGCCTGCCCGCCAGAGGAAAAACCTACATGTCAAAGAAACTCACACGATACCTCAACTGGATCGGAGTCCCGACTAAAGGTACGCACAGGTGTTTGAGTGGATTTCTCTTCTTAGCTGCTCAGTGTGACGGATGATGTGAATGTGAAGGAATAATAAACCGTCTACAGAGACGACACACAGGTCGTAGATCTGACCGTCTGTACTCCACGTAGATTTCTGTTTTTCTTTTTTTACAACATGAAACTCTTTTATCTCCTCAACGCTCTGAATCCTCTCCAACATTTTATTTATATCATCGTGTTTTTCCAGAGTTTGAGTTTGTTCCAGTTTTACCTCCTATAGCTGGAGGTTTAACCCTGAAGACCAGTATTTGGGTTTCAGGTCTGATACTGGTACCAGTACAGAGATACAGAAACAGGTACTGGTACTGATAATGAGTATTCCTGCACAGATATTGATAATCATTGATCATGAGACTGATTATTGACTCATGTTTGTTTTTTCACTGACATTTAGTTCTCTGTGATTTTAGAGCCAAAGTCTGAACAGAAAACTAAATTATCATGATTTTAAAATGTGAACTTTTTTATGTTTAAACTTGAAGAAACTTTATATGTTAGTAAAACTGTTGAAGATCGTCCAGGAGTGGACAGTCAAACAGTCGTGGTACACGAATGTGTCGAGACAATCATCCATCTACAGATAATTGGTCAAATGTTGAATATCGGCCTCGATAATCAGCCACTTTTCTGAGAAAGGAAACGATTTTCTCAGCAGAGACTTTTATGTCAAAACGACCTGGACTGGTTCATAAACACAGAGAGGGAAGTTTGGATCCTTCAGAGTAAAAGTCCGACTGTTTTAAAGTCGTGTAAAAAAATAAACTCCTCACTGTGTCTCTGCAGTTCTGAGTAAATGTTGTTGTTTGATTTGATCCTCAGAAATGATGAGGGCAGACTTTGAGCTGTGTGACCGTCACTGTGTGTCTCCACAGACTGTTTGAGTGTCTTCAGATGATTTCATGTTTTCTTTTTACTGACGTGCAGAAACTTCAACCCTCCAGGACGAATGTGTGTGACGTCGGTCAGAGTAAACAGACAGGAGACTAAATTTAGCAGAAGTTCTGTTGGATAGTTGTGAATGCTCGAACCTTCATCTGTGTTCACACTCATGGTCAAAGTGTTCCTGTTGTTCCTGTTGCAGTGTTTAACTTGGGCGTGTACCGCAGAGAGGCCGTCAGAGCGTACAAGTCCTACGATTTCTTCCGCCATGACAACGAGGAGGCCATGAAAATCAGGAAGTAAGTTGGAGTTCAGCCGAGAGGATCTGAAACAGTCATGACAGAGAAAATCACTGCTGATCTGGAGGCTGAAGCTTCTGTGTGTGTCTCTGTTTCCCTGAGTCAGCATCAGGCTGGTTGATATTCTGCAGCCTCGTCCTCTGCTGCTTCAGTGACTCAGCAAACTCTTCATACCACCTTAAACCAACACTCATCTGTGTTTAATGTGCACACGCTGACATGACCGTCCTACTCCTTAATATTCAGATCAGTCGTCAATCACTGCTAATCGACCCCAGAAGGTCAGTTCAGGATCTGACGGTCCGTTCTCTCTCAGTGTTACCTCAGACAAAGTCATTTACACCGTTCTTCATGCCCTCCACTCATGAAAGTGTGACAGGCGCTCCGCAGCGTCCCGGCGCTGACATGTGACCCAGATATTAAACAAGCTGCTGCTGCTGTCACTCTGGAGCGACACGACCTCTCCTGAGAGAGAGTCGAACCGGGAGCTGAGTCAGTCTGGGAACGTTAACGTGTTTCAGAGACGGTTCAGAGCTGGGAGGAGAAAACCTTTTTCATCGGTGCTCATGTTTAAAAAAGAAGAAGAAGAAGAAGAAGAAGAAGAAGAAGAAGAAGCTCCAGATTCTTCTAAATCTTTTCTGTCCATCTGAGCTCAAATCTGCTCGATCATCGAGGGTCTACAGCAGAGTTATGTCGCCACGATACCCACAAGTTTTACCCTGAAACTGCGTCATGTTGTTGTTGTTGTTGTTGTTGTTGTCGTTGTTGTTGTTGTCGTTGTTGTTGTTGTTGTTGTTGTTGTCATCGTCGTCGTCGTCGTTGTCGTTGGGATTTCACACTTTCACATTCCAGCGACAGTGCTGCTGTCTCTCCTTCATTCAGACACCGTCACGACCTCTGAGGGGGGACAAACGATTTCACGCTGCAGTTAAAAAAAACAAAATAGTGTGGAGTTTGAGGAATAAGATCACTGAACATCTTTTTTACGGTTTAGACTTAAAATTGATAAAACTGAAGATGTGAAAGTCATTAAAAGATCTTAACTGGGAGATTAAAACAAGTGAGAAATCTTTGTATTTTGTACGACTTCTCACACACCGTCCTGAACCAGTGTAGTCTCCCCCTGCTGGCCAGCAGAAAGACTGCAGGTTTAATGAACTCGCAGGATACTTTATTACTGTCAACATGATTAAAGTGTAAATCATTGTCCCTTTAATAACTCAGTACAGGTGCAGCTCCTCATAAACAAGTTTCTGTATTACAAACTTTAAAATCTGTTTTTCAGTTCGATCGGAAACAAAAGGGACACTGAGGCGTTAAATATTGAGAGGAAGAAGAAAGGATATCAGAGAAAAAGAGTTTGGAGAGTGAAGAGTTTTAAAATTCAGGGTCCGTCTGTTTTTGACCTCCGATAACTCCTGACCGCTCACTAACACGTCTAAATCCTGGTTTGTTTCTGCTGAATCTCAGAGCTGAAGGTCTTCCTTTAACATTCAGCAAAAACCACTTTCTTCTGCTAAAAGGAGAGAGATGCATTTATATCAGTGTTTCAGCCCAGACCTCCTGCTGTCAGGCTGGTTTTATGCAGAAGTCTCACAGACGGAGCAGCTCAGACTTTAAAGGAGAACAGGAGGACCTTCAGTATTAAACTTTAACCCAGTCAACATGAACATCCAGAATGTAAAAAAGCTCAAATTCAGACACGAGCCTCTTTTTACTTCCTTAAAAGCAGATTTAATGGAAGATATTCAGCACCGGACAAATACAGATCTACACTTTCATTAAACTCGACGTCTTCATCATCGTGGTTTCACGGCTCTGTTTGTAACAACACATGTGAAGTCAGCGTCAGTGATTCTGCACTTTTGTGAATGAAAACTTGTGTTTCTTCTCGTTCCCACAGGCAGTGCGCACTCGTAGCTCTGCGGGACGTGACGGCGTATCTGACCAACGAAGGAGGTCAGATCGCGGTGAGCCCATCTGTCACTCTGTCACTCACTGTTGGCGTCTCTTCAAAACATCCAGAGCAGGAACACATCTTAATCCCAACTTAATCCCTGACTGTCCTACAAACATGTTATTATTATAATTATTATTATCATACACCCATACTGTCTTTGTCTGCTCCTCTTTTTTTAGGTGTTTGATGCAACAAACACAACGAGAGAGCGCCGAGACCTCATTTTAGGGTTTGTGAAGGAAAATGCTTTTAAGGTATTTTAGAGAAGACTCCGTTTGTTCTGCAGCTCTTTATTTCCATCATGAATTCATGACGAGTGACCAATTAATATCAAAAATACTAAGTTCTTGACTTGGTGTTGGACCATGAACCAGCAAACGTCAACAAAGAAAACATTTTATCCTGTTAAAACATCACATTTTATTGACCCCCTTGTTATGAAGTTGAGGTTATTATGATTTTATCGTTGGGAGAGGAGGATCACAGTGGAGCTGTCCTCCATACTGGACAGAGACTCTCACCCCCTCCAACACACACTCACTGCACCGAGGAGCTCCACCTGAAGTGTGTGACGGAGACGGTGTCGCAGGTCCTCCTTCCTGTCAGACTCCACAACAGAAACCTCAGTGTGCAATAAATCAGATTTATATATATATTTATTTATGCTGTACACCTGTAGATAGAAAATTAGACTCATGGACACGTCGGTTTTTTTTAACTCTTAAGTTTCTTTATCCTTGAATTTCTCTTTTTGTATTTTTGATGCTCTAATTTAGAATTTTTCCCCCTGTGGGTTTATTAGAGGAACATCTTATTTTAAAGACCAAAAAATCACATTTGAACCAGTTTACTATCAGACAGCAGCTACAATATAAGAGAGGAAACAACAATTATCCAAGTATTTAGTTGACTATTCTCTCTAACTTTATCTGACTTTGATGACGCAGTGAACCGTCAGCCAATCACTGAGGAAACAGCCTAAAGCAGCTGCAGGGATCAGCAGATACTTTCAGAGCTGCTACAGGATATTATATAAAAGTCCAGCTACAACAAAGATCTGAGTGTAAAATCATAGAGCTTCAATGACACAACGACAAATCGACCAATCATGTCACAGAGCCAACGAACAGCTGGTGACCATTTCATCAGTCAGCAGCTACAAAGTTCCCGTGCAGAAATAAGAACTGTCTCCGTGGACTAAGAACGGTTTACTGAACAGTATTATTCTGTGACAGAATGACGACACTGTAACGGCTGCTGAGTCATGAAACACAAAGATAATTATGATGTTTTTACCTGATAAGATGATGACTGTGTTTTTTAGTGTATGTTCAGATGAAACAAATGAAACTCCAGTTTAATTTTTGACATTTATTACCAGGTCATTTTTTCTACTGATGCATCCTGGGAACACGGGGAGGAGAAAGACGAGTAGCTGGAAAATCCACATGTAGTCAGAGCAGGGTTCAGTGTTTACTGGAGAAAAAAGATTTAGTTTGGTAACTTTGTTAACGAGGAAACTTTACTGAGTCCGTCTGCTCTCTGAAACTGTCAGGCTGTTGTTTTATTATTCAGGAAAGGTTCTGGAAGTTTCTGACCCTCTCCCTCCTTCCAACAGGTGTTTTTTGTGGAGTCGGTGTGTGACGACCCCGAGGTCATTGCTGCTAATATTCTGGTATGAACTTCTGTCACCGACCTGTTGTCTATTAATATTCACAGCATGGACAGCGTTATGTAAGAACTCTTATTCTCGCTCACGTCGTGTGGATGTCTCTGTGACAGGAGGTGAAAGTGTCGAGTCCTGATTATCCTGAGAGCCACAGAGAGAGAGTGATGGACGACTTTCTGAAACGGATCGAGTGTTACAAGGTCACCTATCAGCCGCTCGACCCCGATGATTATGACAAGTAAGAGATGATCTTGGTGTCAGTATTCATGCAGGATTTGTCTTATTGTGTGAAGGTTTATTTCACTGATACTGACTCAGTTTGATGATGAGATGAAAATCTAACTCTGAGGGCAGGTGTGTTAAATCATCTTTACAGTCCTGAAGTTTAAAAGAGGACCGTAAACTCAGTCAGGAATGATTGTGGAATTACAGCTGCAGTTCCTTCAAACGAACACTAGATGGTGTTTGTGGACAGCAGTCTGATTTCCGTCTCACCTGCAGGGACCTGTCCTTCATTAAGGTGATGAACGTGGGCCGGCGTTTCCTGGTGAACCGGGTGCAGGACTACATCCAGAGTAAGATCGTGTACTACCTCATGAACATCCACGTCCACTCTCACTCCATCTACCTGTGTCGACACGGGGAGAGCGACCACAACGTGGAGGGACGCATCGGAGGAGACTCGGAGCTCTCTCCTGGAGGGAAGCAGGTAGAGACGCTCGGTGGGAGGTGATCTTTGAGGCGTTCAGACAGACCAATAACTGTCGGCTTGTTTTTCTGACTTTTGCTCGTTCCAGTTCGCTCGAGCCCTCCGAGGTTTCATCGAGGAGCACAAACTCTCGGACCTGAAGGTTTGGACGAGCCAGCTGAGAAGAACCATCCAGACGGCAGAGGAGCTCGGCGTTCCTTATGAACAGTGGAAAATACTCAATGAGATCGATGCCGTCAGTATTTACTCACTTATTACAGATTCATGAAGTAAAAGTGCTGACAGACCGTTCAAAGAGGCTCCTGACCTGGTTTTACTGACACTAAGAGGAACCTTCACTGTGTCCAGGGGGTGTGTGAGGAGATGACCTACGAGATGATCCAGAAGACATTCCCAGAGGAGTTCGCATTGAGGGACCAGGACAAATACCACTATCGCTATCCTGGAGGAGAGGTGAGCTGACAGACTCCCTCACAGGAACTTGTTCTTCATAAACAGGAACATCATGTTGATATCTGGACCATCAGCTGACTGATGCTCAGTATCAGTGTCTGTGTTTGACATTTTAAAAACATCAGGACCTGACCGAAGCTGCTGTCCAATAAAAACACTCTCCCTCCTTCTGTCTCTAGTCGTACCAGGACCTCGTCCAGCGTTTGGAGCCCGTCATCATGGAGTTGGAGAGACAGGGAAACGTTCTGGTCATCTGCCACCAGGCCGTGATGCGCTGTCTGCTCGCTTACTTCCTGGACAAAAACGCAGGTCTGCTAAACAGGATGTTTGTTTGTTTATTTAACCGGGTCAGAAACCCGCTGAGATCCAGATCTCTGTTACTAGTGTGACCCGGTTTAGAGGTCAGCAGCACACGTCACAATAATAACTATCGCCTCACGGGGGCGCCAACGGGCCCCAGCAGCGTCGCGTCGCTCCCTCTGTAAACCACCTCTCCAGCGCCACCATTTGGCACTGGCTGCCCTTCCTGATGCGACGCTCTCCACAGCAGCCCTGACCTTTCTGATGGTCGGTACTTATGACCTCCTTCGAGTGTTGGAGGTCATTTGCCGTGAAAAGACGTCAGACGCTTTGGCCACGCCCTTTAACCTAAACAGGTCTTCCTAAAGGTCCGTCTGACAGGCTGAAGAGAAATAACATCAGAAGTCTAAACGGTTCGTTTGTTTGGCACTTACATAAAGCCCTACTTGTCTTTAGGGGGCGCTGTTACCATCCTCACTGTGAAAAGTTGTACGTCAGTCTTAAAGGAAACTTCTGTGAGTTCCTCTGACTGCAGTTTCAGCTCGTCATGTCTGATCGTTCTCCTTCCACCGTTCTCAGCAGACGGTTGATTCTGTTTCCACTCATTTCCTCCCACAGAAGATCTACCGTACATGAAATGTCCACTCCACACAGTCCTGAAGCTGACCCCTGTAGCGTACGGTAGGAGTTTTTTTAATGTGTTTCACTATAATTCATTTTTATCTTCATTTGCATCCAGCTGAATCGTCGTCCATCTTTTATCTCTTTCAGGTTGTAAAGTGGAAATGTTTTTTCTGAACGTGGAGGCAGTGAACACACATCGAGACCGGCCTCTTGTAAGTCGCTCTGAATCAGCTGAAGAGTCACATTTTGGTCTAAATGTGCTAAATCAGCATTTCCCCATGAAATCCTGGATTTTGTTTCTTTATATAAAATACTGTCGAATTGTTTGGTCTCAAATTGAACAGAAAATCCCAACATCTAATCTGAAGTCCCCGAGGCTCTTTGTCTTGTTTGTTGTGTCTGCTCGTTTTCAATCACACTTCATCTTCGCTTCCTCTCTGACGTCCCTCTTCTGTTTCTGTCCCTCTTGTCTGCAAACTGAATTATCTGATCTGGCTTTGGCTGATGAATCTGCAGTCAGTTGAATGGTATACTTCAGAAATAATCCCCTTCATGGAGGTAATGGCTGATCATGCTCCCCTGCTTGGCTGATCATCACAGTTTCTCCGGTTGCTCTTTAACTGATATATTTGATTTCTTTGGTTTACTGCTTGGATTGGACCAAACCAGGTTAAAAAAGACAGATTTCAGGATTACAAACTTTTTAAACTCAAACATTTAACCTGTTACAGAAAAAAAAATCTGACTCATACAATCTTAGATCTGTAGTGCTTCATTTAAATGTTGTTTGTCGAGCTGATTCGCAGTGCCTTTGTCCAACATTAAAAGTTAATTATTATTATTGTAAATTCCTCATTTTTAATTTTTTAAGACGAGTAGGAGGAAGAAAACAGACAATCTTTTTATATTTTCCACAATAAACGGCACATCTGATGGTGAAAAGTTGGCAGAATTGGATCTTCAATATTAGGGGACAAGATAAGAAAAGACTGCTTTGTCCACAGGGGGGCGCCAAGATTAACAGGTCAAAAGTTCCTCACTGGAGCTTTAAGTTAATATCAACTAACCCCGACTTTTGCAGCTCTCCTCAGCAGGATTTCAGTTAAAGAAATAAGACGTGGTTTTATCATCGACCAGGATTAAGCTGTCTGACCATCGTGGATCTACGCCAAGAGGACGACTACTTTTACTGGCTGTGTCTGGTCAAGTGTCCCCTTAACCCCCTTAACGTTTCCCTGCGGTATTTCATCTCCTACCAGGGTAAAATCCCGAGGGACTCTGCTCTCATACACCGGCGGAATAGTTACACCCCCTTGTCCAGTCACGACCAGGTCAAGCGTCCCAGGCTCTACAGTGCGGGCAACCAACCCTGGCTCCCGCTCGCCCCCACCCCGGCGGCTCTGATGCCAGAGGAACGGCAAAGCCAAGTTAGTGTCAGAGTCACAGGCCGCCCCTCTAAATCAGTCAACCCCCCCCCTCCATAGTTGTGACCCTCTGTTTGACATCCTCTCGTGTCAGTTTGGATCCTGTGGATGATTTAGTGTCTGTGTTGAAAACTGTAGAGTCCATCTCTGCCTCTCTCTCTCCCTCTCTCCCCCTCTCTCCCTCTTTTAGGGCATGTTTTGATCGTGAATGGGTTACTCTCCTCCGTTAATGTGCAAATATCTGTAATCAGAGTCAAATGTTTGCCTTGCATGATCTCTGCTCCACCTCCAGCTTGAATATGCAGAACAGCATGCCTGATTTTTACAGAGAAGGAAAATTAAAGACACACAAACATCCAAGACAAATTATTCCAATGATTGGCATTTATGATCGTTATGAATCAAGAGAGATGGTTTTAGTTTTGGAAATACCAAGAAAATCTGAGAGCAAGTGTTCAGATTTCACTCTCAGAGTTTGAGAAATAAGACGTCAGAGTGCATATTCATATTTCTATTTGTGTGTATCTGTTGGCCTTATGGAGTTTGTTGCTTCAGCCCTTCTCCACATTTCTATCCCTCCCTCCCTCTCTCTCTCTCCCCTCTCTCTCTCTCTCCCCTCCCTCTCTCTCTCCCTCTCTCTCTGTCTCTATCTCTCTCTCTCTCTCTCTCTCTCTCTCTCTCTCTCTCTCTCGTCCCTCTCTCTCGTCCCTCTCTCTCTCTCTCTCCCCTCCCTCTCTCTCTCTCCCTCTCTCTCTCTCTCTCTCCCTCTCTCTCTCCCTCTCTCTCTCTCTCTCCCCTCCCTCTCTCTCTCCCTCTCTCTCTGTCTCTGTCTCTCTCTCTCTCTCTCTCTCTCTCTCTCTCTCTCTCTCGTCCCTCTCTCTCCCCTCTCTCTCTCTCTCTCTCTCTCCCCTCCCTCTCTCTCTCGCCCCCCCCCCCCTCTCTCTCGTCCCTCTCTCTCCCCTCCCTCCCTCTCTCTCTCTCTCTCTCTGTCTTACAGCCTCGGATAGGAAGCGGTTGTCTGTGAGTATTTCGGAGACTCCTGCCCTTCGTTTTGTTTCCCAGTGACATCACTTCCTGTCGCTGTAACCCCACGTCAGCATGTTTCCAAACTTTGATGGTTTTCACTCGTTCGGTTTCTCTAACCTTTCATCACCTTTACACTTTTGATCAGAAATGAAAGCGGCGTTTTTGTTTCAGGAAGACTTTTATCATTTACTGACCGGGTTATTGAACATGTTTTATGACAGCAGTCGGAGGACACCTGCAGATACATATATTAAATCATATTCAATAAACAGGACAACCCTGATCCCCAAAACAGTTGGACACTGTGCTAAATGTAAATAAAAAGACCTTTTGATGGTTTGCAGATCATTTGAATCGAGTGTCGTGGAAAGATAACTTACAAAATATTAAAAAAGAGCAGATTTTTATAAGTTTGAGGAAGTTTGTTTTTCAGAGAAAAAGTGACGAAAGGCTCTCGACTTCTTATTGGGTTTATTTACATCATGTTAGGAACACTCCGGTCTGTGAGAGACTGCGTGAGCAAATATTTGAATAGGTTATATTTTTTAGATTTTAGTGTGAAATTAGAAATGATTTGGGGATTTTTTTTTTAATCTACATTATATGTTGTTTTTGAAAGACTCTAAGAATCTGGAGAAATGTCTGCACAAAAGGGACCAGGCCAAGAACCAACCGTGGATTATTAGGACCGAAGAACAGACATGACTCTGAAGTGGAAATCACAGCACATGCGGACGATCACGGCGAGATTTTACCACGCCAAGAGAAAACACGATGATTTAAACATGACCTCAAACCGGGGCATTTTTTCATGGCCCAGATCCATTTGAAGACGGTCTGAGGTGAAGTGAACAAACGTCTGATGAGATGAAGAATCAAACTTAAACCAGGACTTTTTCAGAGGACACAAAACCAAACCACAAGAGTCCGGGGTGCCAAACTGAAAACATGTTATAAAAACTAAAAATTAAAACAATATCAAGACAGAAATACAAATCAATGAAGATCCTCAACTGTTGAGGATCTGTAATCTTAATCTCTGGGTGACCATCTACTTTAAACCTTCAGACACTCGTCTCTTTAGTTCCCAAACATTTACAGAGTCTACTTCAATAAAAAACTTGTTTTAATTTCAACATTTGCTCTGCTGTCTTTGCACTTGTTCAGGAAAGTTTAGGGTTTCATTTATTTGCAAACCATCAAAATGTCGTTTACGTCTTACAGAGTCCAAACTGTTTAAAATTTAATGTTTTTCTTGAACACATTTGTGTTAATTCCAAAAGTCATGCATACTCTGAAAATGGGATTAAGGTTCAGCTGCAGAGGAGGCTGTTTTCACACACTTTACTTAATAAGTCCAGACTCCCGGTCCACTGGGAGCCTCTTGTTCTCCCTGAAGAGGATTTACTGCTTTGAGGAGTTCATTTGTGAATGTGCGTGACATTTTCTTTCTCCTGAAGGAATCCCTGTGTGAAGGAATCGACTTTGACAGCCCCGAAGAAACTAGTGGCTGTGTCCGCTTCTGAGTGAAGACGAGTCTTTTCTTCTGAAGCAACTTGAGCAAAAAGTTCGGAGTCAGAGTTCGAAAAGAAAGACGGGAATCCTGGAAATGGTCGGGATGGAGTTAAAGAGCAGTTTCAAAGCGAGGTCATTTTCCTGTTTTCATATCTCTCAGAATAACCTGTCAGTCTAGCTGTACTCTGCATGCTCAGGCTTTGAACTGGAATCTTTATCAATATTATCATAAACTCGACTGCATGTGCAACGAAACCAACCAGTCAAAGAAGACACCATACTGTGTTTGAAAACCAACCTGATCTGATTCAGTAGAACAAATGCCTTACTGGACTGTGTATGAATGTAACAACAGGTTTATGCATTACTCCAGAACCAGAACCAACCAGAACTAATGCAAATACAACTGAGTATGAAGTCGATGCTGTAAAAACACTTTTATAAATCATGATCTGTAAAACGTGTCGTTGTAAGTCTCATCTTTTTTAATTCTTAATTTGGTTTGGATTAGAAATGTTCTATAAATCTAAATTATGAGGAAATTCTTCTCAGATTCTTCTTCCTTCTTCAGTTTTGGATGCAGTTTATGTTTCATGTGTTATTCTAAAGAAATAGTTACCGCTCTGTACTCGTAGATTAGGAAGATTATCTTACTTTTCTGACCAATCACACTCCTGAGATTGTGTAATCTGTAACAAACATCATAAAAAAGAGTATTGTCCAACAAAAACATGAAGTATCAGTCAGTTTTAAACCTTTGTGTTCATGTTTTCATTCAGACAAAAGCACATCTCGTAAATGTTCTTTACTCTGTATTTTCCTTTCATTACTTTGTGTTTGTTTTCCTAAGATAGAACATTGTCTGTATTTTATTTAGTAATAGACTGTGGTTAGATTTACTCTGATTACCTTGTAAGTCTGACTGTTGGTTAGTTATATCCCTGAATAAAGCAGCCGACTCGTGCCTTTTCAGCAGACAATGAAAGTGAATTTTGAGGTGATTATTTTGAACAAATGTAGGAGACGCTTCAGCGTGTGGAATAAAGGAATCTGTTCTCTGTTGGTTTGTGACCATCATGTTTTTCTTTCTTGTTTAACGCATAAATAAAGGGACTAAAACTGAATATAATTGTTAGTCTGCTTTGCCTCGTGTGAGTAAATACAATATATAAATATATATATATATATATATATATATATATGTGTGTGTGTGTGTGTGTGTGTGTGATAGTAAAAATAAATCTATCATAAAGTCGTTTTTAAGGAAGTGTAAAAGTTCTCTCTCTGAAAATTTGATGAGCTATTATAGAAACTGACATTATTGTAAACCGACTCTACTGTTAATATTTACAGGATCAAGAGCAAAAAAAGACTTTACTGCAAAAAAAACTACAACTTCCATGAATTCATTGGAAAAAACACGTTAGTTTTACGGTAAACCTGCATCAGGAACTTCGTTCATATTTAAAGAAACTTTTCTCTCCTAAAATAAACTTTAGTGTCAAACATTAACATCCCATTAAAATAACAGTGTCATTATTTCATCTGTAACAGAACCACAGACTGGACCGAACCAACTACACTTCAAACCAGCTATTAGGGCATTTACGGCATAGACATTTTACACGTAGACGCCTTATTACGTGCTGGAGTGTAATCCGGTGTCACCGCCATGTTGGATGGGTCTCCCCGCTCCAGGTTCGCTGAAGGGCCAAACGGGGTAAATGGAGAACGAGCATCTATGTTCTCCATTCAGTTCTAGAGCAACTATGACCGTTTTCATTTTTCACTCTGTAGTTGAAAAACATGACGCAGTATTAAAACCAGAACACGGAGGATTAAATTTCACAAATAAGATTAAAAAATATTTTGTTTTATTTTTAACGTGAGAAATTGTCCTGTATTGTGGCGTCATCCCTGCCGTTTGTATCAAACCAAACAGTGAAAAGAGATTCAGAGAGTTATTATTAACACGGTTGGACATTCCTACTGACTTCAACGCACAGGGGGGACCTATCCAAGATGGCGGCCGCGCTGATACGTGAGCTCCGGTAGGCCGCGTCAGGTTTTGAGGCGTCTACGTATATTATGTCTATGATTTACGGTACACGTTGCCAGAGCGTCATGTCGTCATAAAGACGTAGTGAGACGTTATGCATACACGTCACTCCAGAGTGGTTGTTTATTGTCTGAGGCAGAGCTAACAGCTAACAGCTAACAGTCAGCAGGTAAGAAAGACAATCAAACTTAAAAATCAGTCAATATCTGAGTGGATCAAAATATCGATATTATCAGGGGAGAGAGATTAAAGATAACGTCCTCGTGGAGACCGGAAACGTTGGACAAAGTAGCGCCAAGTAATCGGCCAGGTTAGCATGCTAACGTTAGCAGATGATGAAGGTTTGACTTCAGATTAAAATCTGTTTTTATTAAAAATCTGTTTTTATTGAAACTGTTTCTAGAACATTTTCGTGTTTTCTCTGAGTTGGTTTGTTCCTCTGACTGTCAGAGACTCTCAGTGTTTTTATAGGAGGATGTTAGAAAGAAGAAGAACAAAGAAAACAGGCTGTTTGTCAGTTAAATTATTATTATTATTATTATTATTGTTGTTGTTGTTGTTTCACTCATCAGCACTTTGACTGTCAGATCATTGAATTAAATCTATATTAGATGGAGGCAGAGAACAGAGTTAGATCAACTTTATTAAAGAAAAAAGTCTAAAACATAAAAACAAAATGACTGTAAAGATGAAATTATTCTTGTGTCCCCCTTTAATGTTGTGGACTAAAAATGTGGATTTCATCTTATTTAAAATTATTTTATGATCACTTGGATGAAAAAGAGAAAGTTAGTCAGAAATATTTAGTGTCTTATTCTGGTGTCGACGTTTTTGTTTTTTATTGTTTTTGTTTTTATTGTTGTTTTTGTTTTTATTGTTGTTTTTGTTTTTTGTTGTTGTTGTTTTTATTGTTTTTGTTGTTGTCGTTGTTTTGTAAATCTTGCAGGCGGGATGTTGCGGCTTCGCTGTAAGACCAAAAACGGGAGCCACATCATGCAGGGTCTGACTCATCAGTCGTGCGTTCAGGAGCTGAAGACCAAGGTGGAGGAGCTGACCGGGATCCCGTGTGACGTGCAGAAAATCATGGTTGGTTATCCGCCATCAAGCCTTGATCTCCGAAACGGAGACGCTCACCTGAAGGACTATCCCATCAAATCAGGTGAGTTTTCAACAGAAACATCTCTGTTAGTTTTCTGAGAGGGTTCATCCTTTATTAGCGTCTAAAATACTGAAACTTTCTGATCTGAACGTTTGGATCTAAAGTCCAAACGGATGGATGAGTGTGGTCTGAAATCATGACTCAGAGGTGGGAGGAGACAGCTTCATAAAGCTTAGTTTGTTAAAATACAGGAAAACACTGTTAGACATCCATAACAGTAGAGCGGCGCTGACCTGACTCCGCCCACGCTGAACCCTGCTGTGCTGTCCTCCTCTGCAGGAGACACTCTCATCGTGGAAGAAGAAAAGAACAAACCAAAGCCTCAGGATCATCCCACTGTGACCAAAGCGCCGCGCCTCGACGCCTCACCTGTGCTGGCACGCCGCGTTGTCCCTGCTGATAACTCCTGCCTCTTCACCAGTGTGTATTACGTCGTGGAAGGGGGCGTGTACGAACCCTCTTGTGCCCCTGAGATGCGAGGCCTCATCGCCCAGATCGTGTCTAGCGACCCCACGGCGTACTCTGAGGCGGTGCTGGGAAAGACCAACGAGGAGTACTGCTCATGGATACGGCGTGATGACACCTGGGGAGGAGCCATCGAGGTGTCCATCCTCTCCAAGTTTTACCAGTGTGAGATCTGCGTGGTGGACACTCAGACGGTACGAGTGGATCGATTCGGGGAGGACGCCGGCTACCACAAACGCGTGCTTCTGATCTACGACGGCATCCACTACGACCCTCTGCAGAAGGAAACGCCCGGCTCGGACGTCCCGCCCCAAACGATCTTCTCCACTACGGACGACGTTATCTTGGCGCAGGCGCTGGAGCTGGCAGACGAGGCTCGCCGAAAACGCCAGTTCACGGACGTTAATCGCTTTGCTCTACGCTGCATGGTGTGCCAGACGGGCCTTGTGGGACAGAAGGAAGCCCGTGAGCACGCCAAGGAGACGGGCCACACCAACTTTGGCGAAGTGTGACCCGCATCATTTCGTCTTTTTCCTCTCACTGATACAACCACCACCAACCCCGTGCCCCACATGTGGCGACTCTGTTGGTCTTTCTGTCGATCTGCTTGTGTGATCCTCTACCTCACATTGTCCAGCGACATCTCCGGAGAATCTGCAGAAACTCTCCGCTTCAGTATTACTTCTTAAACTGCTGTCAGTCAGAAACACGACTGCAGAGCTCGATGTCATCAAACCATCATTTCAGTCTGTCAGGGACGGTAACAAAAGCGTAAAACAGGGTCGAGTAAAACATGCAAATAATTCTTAGTTTGTTGTCGTCAGTGCCGGACCTTCATGATGAACCAAATAATGACTCCAGGGCTTCAGCGATCACTGCAGATATGAAAATCATTAAAGTTACTCATTAATCATCGGCTGCTAAACGATGAAACATCTCCTGTCAACTTCTTCTGAGTGTTTCAGCCTCATTTTAATTTAAGGAGAGGTGTTTTTGTTTTAAATGGAGTTGTACGAGGTGCTTGCCTGGAGTATCACTCACAGGGGATCCTGCTCAGCTCAGGAAGACAACAAACCAAGAACCCAAGCTAGGCTGACCCAAAACCTGAAGACAGTCCCAGTGTTTCCAGGCTGAATGTTGAATTTTGACCTTTTTATTATATACATATATAAAGTGTAAACGTGGCACAAAGAGTTGATAAAAAAGGGTTCGAGCTCAAACAGGCTGATACACTGATACATGAACATTCATTCAACACTTTAGAAAGTCTCAGTACGACTGACAAATGGTAATTAAACACACTGTAAAAAATCAAAACTGTTCAAGTCTTTGGGGCTTTTTTACTGACAGCTGTGATGGTCCAATCAGCTCCATGAAGAGTCCACTGAAGGAGAGATCCTGAGGAGTCACCTGCAGACCTCTCTGACTCTAAATGACAGGAGAGTTGACCCGCCCTAAAGTGGTTGATAGTTTAACTTCCACTCTGGTTCTGGGGCGAGTTTCTGAGCAAACGGGTCGAGCTGACTGGAAACCCCTGTGGGTTCTTACTGTGAGGAAGCACCTCAAACAACCTCAACATCTCTGCCTTTAACCCTGATGTGTTTGAGGGTCGTTCTTTATTTGGTGTTTTTACTGGTTTCTGTCCGCCGGTGTGTTCGCACTTCAGCGGAGAGTTGGTTGGTAAGAAAAACTGGTAACAACCTCAAACCCTTGAGGGTTATTTTCAGAGCGAGTGTGAAGGCTGTCTGCTCCAGCATCAGTGAGTCCAAGACTCTGAACTCTCTGGATGAACTTGAAGCTGCTGACTGATGTGGTGGAGGTTCTCAAACGTTACTCTGGTTAAACGGGAGTGTTTGCTTTTTAAAACGACCACTAAGAATTGTTTGCTCTCTGAGGTGATCCTATTCACTGTTGTCTTAAACGCAGCACACACAGTTTGACTGTTATTCATTATGTTGGTTATGTAGCATGGTGTTTTTTTTGTTTTTTTAGTATTTCCGTTACTTGACAGAAACTCTTCCAACTCTACAAAATGAACTCTGTGTGGTGAAGGTTGAGCTTTAAACTACATCGCTGTGACTTCAGTGACGAGCGGCTGCGATTGAGGTTTAAAGTTGAGGTCCTGCAGTTTGAAATTCTGATTGTGAAACTGATTTTTTTTCTTCTTTATCATTTTTGACGTTGCTTTAAGTTTTATTAGTGGGTTAGTTTTGAATAAGACAAAAAAATACACAAAAAAAAAAGGTAATGGTGCTGATCATATAATGTCCATGGCTTGTTTTGGTCATCTTCACTGAAAAACAAAGTTGTCAGGTGTGTAACTTTTGAACTCGAGTGTGTTTTTCTTTTTTAACTTCATCATGCTGAGTGAACAAATCTTTTTAAAAGTACAGTGTGTCATAAATAATTATGAACAGAAATGAAATGATTATTGATGAGTTTGTTTACAGAAGTGTGCAAACTTTAAAACTCGCTCAGAGCCGCCGTCGTGCACCGCCATGTTTCTACAGAAGCACAGAACGGACAAACGAGTCAGATTCTGATGTTCTGTCCAAAATGCGCACAGAAAAAGAGAGTGGTTGTTGTCATTTGTAGTTCTGGACATCTTTGATGGTTAAAAACGGGTAAACTGAGGCACTCGTCATGCAGCGTCTCGTCCTCGAGGGTCACTGTTGACACACCGACCCAGAGGGGTGAGCATCTGAACCTAACACTCCTGTTTCTACACACTGCACCTTTAAGAAGTTTTTCCCTCTGATTGAACATTTCTGGATATTTTCTAAAAACCACTAAAGCTAAATTATCAGACAGGAGTTCTCGGTAAAATAAGGTGTTTTATGTTTTGAATCATGAGTGGGAAATGCTGTGGGAGTGAATCCTGCTCACTATGATGTGTTCATTTTTCAGGTCTGTACACTTCTCTGCTAAACAGTGTTAACCCTTTCATATTTTCAGCACAAAAGACAGTCAGGGTATTTGATCAAGATCAATGCAGAAGAGTCATTTTATTGAATTTCTGTGCATGTTGTCCAAAAACGGCCTTTTTCACACCGTATGTGTTGCACAATAGGAGCATGTTGTCGATATCTGAACAGACTTTAGAGAAACTCCTGACCGGTGAGGCTGAAGCACGCACTCGTGTTACACCACGGCTCAGAAATGTACGACTCAGTTTTTCAGTTTATTGTGAATAACTTCTTTTATTGAACGTATCTGTGTGGGCCATATTGTACTGAGTTCTTGCCAAAACGAGTGGGGGGCGTTACAGGGGTTTAGTTTGATGGTCTGGGCTGAGACTGAGGCCATGTTCGGACCGTTTGTTTGAATGTGAAGTAGATTTTCTTCTTCCTCATCCGTTCCTTTTTAACAGTGATAATAATAATATTGGATTAACAGCTTGCATAAAAGTGAAACTATGACATGGCTTTGTTGTATTTTGTATTTTACCAAGTTCTCATGGCTCTTCAAGGACAATAACAATGAATGTTGCACACAAAGCACTACAGAATAACTGGATTTACTTGATTTTTTCAGTGTTGTGTCACAAATAAAAGTTATTGACAAAGATAAACATGTGAGTCTCAGTCTGTTAGACCTTTGACCTCTGTACATGTGAGTCTTTCATTAGTATGATTAGTTTGTGTCCATTAACCATCTAAAAACTGAGGCCAGTGGAAATGAACCCTCGCTGCTTCACTTTACACTTTATCTTCCACGGTGGGATTATACCACCTCGGAGTTATTTTAAGGTCGTCTGCCCCTCTTAATAGGATCTAAGATTTGTTCACTGCCTGTTTGACCGAATGCAGCAGCTAACTCTGACAACAAAAGGAGGTTAATGTTACACTTTATGTCTGTGGAACGATGAAGATGGAGAGGTTATCGCTTTGAAACTGAAGTTATGATGATTTGTAATCGTGTTTATTCTTAAGAACTGGACTTTTTAAAGGTGCTCTGACATCCAGGAGGAAAAAATTAATTAACTAATTAATTATAAAAGGCAGTAAAAGAATAATTGAACACAGGTCAAAGTCTGAAAGTCCTGAAATTACCAAAACAATATCAAGAGTTCATGAAGTCTACAGACTTTAAGACGTTTCTGAAACTTTCTCACTGAGTCTGTCAGTATAAAAACGTACAAAACAAGTGTTTACTTTAATCCATTATCGACGATGAACAGACTCAATTCTGCTCCAGGCCGTTTTTTATTTTTATGTGAAAAGTTGGTACTTTTTAATTTAACAGGTTTTATAAAACAGCCAAATTATGATTTAACAAAAAAGCATGTAAAATAATAACTTACTTTACAGCAATAAACCTGACTTATAATGTGAGTTTGAACAGAAGGTGGGGGGGTTCATACATTTCATTTCAGTCAATTACAGTAACAATAAAAAATGACAATAATTAAAGATTACAGTAATAATTAAAAAATACAGTAATAATTAAAATAAAAATAATAAAAGATTACAGTAATAATTAAAAATTACTGTAACAATTAAAAATTACGGTAAGAATTAAAAATTACGGTAATAATTTAAAATTATGGTAATAATTTAAATTTACGGTATTAATTAAAAATTACAGTAATAATAAAAAGTTACAATAATAATTAAAAAAACGGTGATAATAAAAAATTACAGCAATAATTAAAAAAAAACAGTAATAATAAAAAACTAAGGTAATAATTAAAAATTACAGTAATAATTAAAAATTACAATAATGATTAAAAATTACAGTAATAATAAAAAATTACAGTAATGATTAAAAATTACAGTAAAAATTAAAAAATTACAGTAATGATTACAAATTACAGTAATAATAAAAAATTACAGTAATAATAAAAAATTACAGTAAAAATTAAAAATTACAGTAATAATAAAAAATTACAGTAATAATAAAAAATCACAGTAATAATTAAAAAAACTGTAATAATTAAAAACAGTGATAATTAAAAATTACGGTAATAATTAAAAATGACAGTAATCTAGTCTCTGACTTGTTTAAATGTTTGTTAGCGGCTCCGGTCATTTCAAGAACAAAATATTTACAGACTCAAACTTCTTGAATTAATATAAAAAGGGTTGAAATGTGTTAAAAGCGCTTATGTTTAAATTCCTACAAAAAAAAGTCACAACAACGTCAAACAGCTGTTACTATAGCAACCCACTCATGGCGAGTCCTGCCCCATAAACTTTTCACTCTCGGTTTAATTCCTACAGTAATAATGTAATGTCTTTTTCAGCTCCATTATATAACTGCTACTCGAGCTGATAGTACTTAGCAGATTACAACAGTGAGTGTTACTATGGCGACACGGGTTTAGGGAGAATGCTGCCCTCTGATTGGCTGAGAGCTCAGAGCTCCTGCAGGTATCTGAGGGTAGGTGTGAGTTTGTGTTCAGTCAGAGCAGGAGGAGCAGAGGATGGAGAACTGACTGAAGGAGGAGGAGGATCTAACAGGTATGTGAGGAAAGACCTTTAGGGTTGTTTTAAAAGTTAGTAAAATATATTTATATTATATTTAGATCGAATATTAGAATCGATTTTATATCAGTATAGATTTTATATTGAGTATAGATTTTATATTAGTATAGATTTTATGCCGTTTAGCTCAGAGAAAAACTTGACAGGCTCAGGTAAAGCAAATGTAAGTGAAAGTTAAAGGTAATCGTGGTGTTTGACGTTTTAAAATCATGATTATTTCTTCATAAAACAACAACTAATGAATAAACAGAGGATGTTTCTTCATTATTTTACCAACTTTAATTATCCAAAAACTTTACAGCATTAAACCAACTTTATTTTTTACAAACTACTTTGAGTTTTTTTGTCTTTATAAACTGAGGTAGTGATATTTTTACGAAGCTCAAATCTTCTTATAGTTTTTTAGTTTTATTCTTTATTTGAGTGAATTCAGCGTAGATAATCTGACATAGATAATCTGACATAGAGCTCCACATTCCTGACCCAGCAGGAATCTAGAGTCAGTGGGTTAGAGGAGAGGGGTCAATGAACGTCAAATAAACACAAAGTCTGCAGAAATTGCATAATCCCAGTCCTATCAAATAAACTTTGGTCTTTATAACCACAATCAAAACAAAACAGCGAGTGTGTCATTGGACCAGAGAGCGAACTTTGACCTCACAGACACTCATTTATGACTGAAGCCTCTGAATCATTGTTGGCTCTGTGTTAGTTTGCTCCTGTATAGACAAGTAAATCTTTGTGAAGATAAGATGATGATGAATTCTCAGCGAGGTTTAAGACCTACTTTCACTGAAAACTGTCTATCAGGGTTAATAACTGACATCTGTCCAAGAAATCTGAAAAACGAAAGTCAAACTAAAGTCTTTACTGTAGACGAGCTAAATAAGACTTCAGAGAGAAATTTGATGTCCACGAAAAAAGGATTTAAATATTAAAGACTGAAGCCTGCAGAGGGTTCTCATCCATCTCCATGTCAGCTGTTTTGGCAGGTGATAAATCCAGATTGTGTCACATAAAAACACAGTAAATGTTATCTGAGAATTTTCATTTTTATGAGCGGAGGATTTTCCTACGTGGGTTTTAAAGTTTTACAGGGATGGGGTGACACAGGGTGAGGTACGGACCCTGAACAGGAGGTCTTTCTCCGCCCTCGCTCTCAGCCGTTGAGACTTCTGGAAAAGGGAATTTCTGTCTTTTCACTAAACCTTATTTCTGCAGTTACGGTAAAAAGGTTTGCTGCATTTATCCTCTAACATGGGTTTGTTATGGCGTTTAACACCTTGAGTATCTAAAGGCCAAATATCAGTGACATTAAGAAGAAAATACTTGAAGCAGTTTTTGATTCAAAGATCTTCTTCTGTGTGAATCTTTAGAAGTGCTCAGTAATAAAGAACATCAGGCGAACTACCTAAAGAGTGACCCTGACCGGTGTTTCCATGACACCTGATGGTCATTTCTATGTAAGAGCATACACTCACGTTTACACGGCTCCACTAAGACACCGTGGTCACAGTGGATATCACATAGCTTTCAGCAGATCACTCCTGCTGCCCTCCACTCCCTCTGAAACTGATCCCGCTGAGAAGATTAGGAGTGGCATGTGTGCAGTAATCTGAGTCACATGCAGCAAAGAGACGAGTTAGATATCTGCCGGAAACACGCGAAGGTACGAGGCAGGGTTACAGGATCGAAGTTCTTCAGAGAAACTGGCCTGAAGAGTCCCGTGTGTGCAAACATGTCGAAGAGTAAAGATTTGTTAAAGTTAAATTTACAGACTATTAGCTCATATAAAGGCTGAACATGCCTGAGAAACGTTTACAGAGCATCATGAAGAGTGACGTAAACAAACAGCCATGTTGGTTTTTAACAAGGAACAAAAACTATCCCTCAGTTTGGTCAGTTTTCTTACAAGTCCACACACAGACAGATTTACCATTAAAATCCACTTTCTCTGTCTCCGTGGAGTCTGAACATTTTAATACTGGGACTTTAAAACGACTGTCCGCACGTCTAACTGTGAATTTAAAAAGGCTTTTAAAATGCATTTAAAGAAAAACAAAGAGGGTTAAAGAGAAAAACACGAGGAGCTGAAGAAGTCTGTGCGGTACGTTCTCCATGTTTCAGATCTCCCGCGCTGCTCTGTGTTCAGTCATGTTAGAGTCGACCAGGACCCACTTTAATCCTTGGTTGACATAACTGGGTGATCTTAGTTTGGTTGTAATCCTGAGCTAATAGTAAACACAGCTAACCCTAAACTGGACCCGTTCACTTCCCCCTGCGGCGAGGTTTTTTTTGAGCCCGAGCCAAACGTTAGGCAATATTGTGTGGTTATTTATTTAAAGGAGTTTAATGATAGAGGAAGCCTCAGTTATTTACAGGTTAGTTAATCCAAACGTCTTTAAAAAGCATCTCATACTCCAGAAAAAGAGTTTATTTCGGTGTTTTCCTGGTGGACTCATCGGTGGAGCTTTTGTCCTTTTTTTACCGTAGTTTTTGTAATACTCGCTGCCAAACATATACAGCAGTTTCTACGAGCAAGAGAGGCGATCCAGTTTCCAAAGAATGAACCTGCAGGTGTGATTTTTCGATATTTTGATGTTTTTTTAATTTTATTTTGAACGAAACAGTGACGACTTTTTTCATGATTTAGAAAAGTCAAGAATGTTATTCCAAGAAGATCTGAACTGAACTCTGATATTTTTTTATTTACAAAGACCCAAAATTTATCCATCATGACCAAAAATCTATTTGCAACAAGATCTCATCTAGACGTCTCTTTTAGAGGCTCAGCAGTGTTTTCTTTACCAACATGAAAACCAACAAAGATGGAGAACAGACCGTCTAAAATCTGAGGATAATGATCCATAAATGTTTGTGTAGTCAGAGTTAGTAAAAGAGTTGGAATTGAACCCGGGATATAACCTCTTTTTTTACAGAGTGAAATTAAAGAGCCGGCACCGCTGACCTCAGAGGACTCGAGTCCTAAGATGCCCAAAAGTGACACCTGGCCGGGGGGCGTCGGGTTGGAGGCGATGACGGGCGTGGACAGCGCTGGAAGCTGTGACAGCGTGGTCAGTGCCAACTCTGGATTTGTAAGTATCTGAGGAGGATTTCAGCAGTTTTACCAGAGTCACTGTTGGACCGGGTGGACAGAGTACTAAAATATCAAATTTTTGACTGAAGGAGGAGTGAAGTAAAAATACTTGAGTTACATTTTAAAACACAGTTTTACTCTAATACTTTGATGTTATACACAGAAGGAGGAGCTGAGATAAGACCCTGAAATCATGTGACCGATCCGTGTTTAAAGAGAGTTTGTTCACACCGAACCAGGTGGAGGTTATCGGATATTATCCACGAGTGAGTGATTGACACAGGAAATCAGCCAATCAGCTTGCAGTCGCTCTGTTGATGGACAGCTTGTGTCTTTTCAGCGTTTCTTTTGTTTTACTTCGTAGTAAAGTTCTTCTCGTTGGAAACCTTCCTCCATGTGTTGCAGAGTGATGACAGCATGGAGCACCTGTCTGCTGAAGAAAAGGCCTGCCTCATGTTTTTGGAGGAGACCATCGAGTCTTTGGACACTGAGGAGGACAGCGGACTGTCCAATGACGAACCTGACCAGCTGCCCAGTCCGGGAAACCTCGCTACCAAACTGGCCGACCTGTCGGCCTCCATGAACAGGAACAAGCTCAGCAGTGAGTCCACAGATGTGGGATTAGCTTCTCAGTCGTTAATGAACTCAAAGCTTTGAGCATCTAGAGATGAACATGTTCTTGTTTGTCTTTCAGATTCACCTAAAAAAGCCTCCAAAGAAACTCCAAGAAAAGAAAATGGTGACGTCAAGATCATGCAGAGCTACCTGGTTCCTACACCTCTCATTATGGCAGGCAGCTCTCCAAGTACTGAACCCAGGGTTAATCCAGGTGTTCCCAAAGACAGGAACCTCACCTCCAAATCTCAGGTCACATCTTCAAGCAAAGAGCTTGTTCACAAGGACGCCCAGAAACCTGTTGCTCCACAACTACCTTTGGAAATTAACGTCGTGATTTCTCCTTCCAACAAACCGGTCGAACGCCCCGTTAAGACGCCCGAAGGTCCTTTACCTCGAGGCCCCCTGTCCTATGAGGCCCTTTTTTACCTTCGCAGGACCGCCTCCACCAAGAAGACACCTTTATGCCCCACAATTGATCACACCATCGAATCAGACAAGCAACGTCCCGCCACAGCAGAAGGTCAAAACCAGAATCCGACCAAGTCTGTCAGATTTCACCCTGAGGTTTCCATTTCCAGGACAAGTCCTCCAGTGGTGGCCCCCAAACCCCCAAAGATTCCTGGGAATGTCAGTGTGAAAACACAAAAACAACCGTTTGTTAAAGACTCCTTATTCAACATGAAGCATGCGACAGATCCTGAGGTGGTGAGGATGGAGGCTCTGCAGAAACTGGGTCTACTGAAGGACCAGGAGAACACCAGAGGAGCAGCTCTGTCCGCCCCTCAATCCTTTTCTACGCTGAACCGAACATCTCATGGATTTACCGGAGGTCCCTCTCCATCAAGGAGCCCCTCATTTTCTCAAGTGAATGTCGAGCCAAAGACCAAGCCTCTGCAGAGCAGCGCCAGTTTCCATCACCCCCCCAGAACTGATCAACAGCCTGTGTTTGTCTCAAATCCACCTCAATCCACCGGAGTCAAGGCGGCCGGTCTGGTGCGCTCTAATACTCTGGGCAACCACAGGTTTGCCGGAAACGACCCCGAACTACCACACAACACGAAGTCAACGTCAGCGCAGTCGTCGCCCAGTAAGAGCTCGAACACGGTCCCGTACACGGTGATGATGGTGCCTGGGATGGGGGTTGATCGGAGGGAAGCTCTGAGGAAACTGGGACTGCTGAAAATCTGAACAGATGAGCAGCAGAAGTCCGTCTGCTCAGATTAGAGGAGCGTCAGATTAAGAAGAAGGCTTTAGGGGGAACTTGGCACTCTGCACTTTGGTGAACTGGAGCAGATGAAGAAAGGCCGTACCGACATTATCATGTAGGACGTAGTCACTGGTTTACATGGAGGTAGGTTTTTCCAGCAGTGTGGACTCTAGAAAAAGAACCGTACATGAGTTCATCAAACACAAACTACAGCAGTCACTGGTTTCTGTCTCCTCCCACTATAACAAACCACTGACTGTATACTGGGCTGGACAGACACTACATTTGACCATCCATGTACCATCTGTTAACATGGAGGAGGCAGACTTTTCCACCTGTACCACAGCCAGCCAATGGGGGAAGCTCCCAGTGTTTTGTCTTCACTGTTGGGGAGCCATCATGTCGTCCATCTTCTGATACTGTGTCTGTGTCTGTGTACAGTCTGAAAACCCACCTTTGGGTTCAACTTTGACTCTTGATGTTGTTAGAAATAATGAGTTTTTATCGACCATCATATGGACGGGTCCTACAGCTGGATCGGTAACTGCACTTCCATAAAGACACGTGTTTAT